CATATCGAACGCCTCAGCTAAAACTTCAGTTTCAGTAATGTCTTTCTCTTTAACTCTGGTTTCACGCAACCCTCTTCTTTTTCCAGTTTTATTTTGACAGAAGGTTTACTGCTTGACCTTCTTTTTAGATCACCAGTCCTTTGGGACAGATACCTTCCCAGTTGACACTGTCTCTTGTAACAGCTAGATATTTTACTCCAGCTATTTCTGTGCACACCTAACTCTCCTTTCTGAGGGAGCTAGCCTGTGAGTCACCATTTTGCTTCCTTCAGATATACTTATTACTGCTGAAGAAATAGTAATCCTTATTCTAAAATGCTTGGGTACGTCAAATAACTTTATAAAGATAAAATTAGCTTTACAAGTTTTTCTTTATTTTGACTCTTTTTCTCTTACTCTCTAATTTAAGAAGCCCCTTTTCTTCTTTTTGAGATGGAATTCCACTCTTGTTTCCCAGGCTAGAGTGCAATGGCATGATCTCAGCTCACCACAACCTCCGCCTCCTAGGTTCAAGCAATTCTTCTGCCTCAGCCTCCCAAGTAGTTGGGATTACAGGCATGCGCCACCATGCCTGGCTAATTTTGTATTTTTAGTAGAGATGGGGTTTCTCCGTGTTGGTCAGGCTAGTCTTGAACCTCTGACCACAGGTGATCTGCCCGCCTTGGCCTCCCAAAGTGTTGGGATTACAGGTGTGAGCTACCACGCCTGGCTAAGAAGCCTTTTTCTAAAAGCATTTCCTGCAGTTGAGTGCTAAGTGGTTGGGGTAGCAGAACCATTGATTAGGGCAACTGTGGATAGCCTACTTTGGGAGGACAGTATGATCAGCAATGCCCGGGGAGTGATCAGGAAGGAAGACTGAAGTCAGGGATAATGACAAGAGTTGACCTTCCTGTCTTTAAATTTTTCCTATTTGGCTTCTGCAGTGCCATTCTGTCTTAGTTTTACTTCTCAGTTTCCTTTCACATACCATGATATTAATTCAGCAAATATCAACAAATTGCTCTGTACCATGTACTCTGAAGGATGCTGGGGAAGTAACGAATTAAGATGCACGTGGCTCTTGTCCTTCATGGAACTAAGAGTCTAGAAAATAGTAAACAGTAATTACAAATTTTAATAAGTGCCAAGAAATAATGCTATGAACAGCAGAGACAAAAATCCCTGCTTGTATGGAGCTTGCATTCTAGTGAAGGAAGTGGGAGATAGACCGACTAAATAGTGTGAAGATAGGAAAAAAATGTGGATGGGCAGAATGGACTGTTTTAGAGAGGATGGTCAGGGATAACCTTCTTACGATGGTGACATTTAAACAAACCAGGTAGTGAGTAGAAGCGAGGATGCTACGTGCAAGGGAAGAGCATTGCAAGCAGAAGGGCAGCATGTACCAAGTCGCTGGCATACTTCACAAACTGAAAGAAAGCTGTATCATAGTTGGGAAAGGGAAGAATTGTGTGAATTGAAATTAGAGAAGAAGGTGAGGGCCAGTTCATGAGGGAGCTTTTAAGGCCATATTAGAGTATTTGAATTTTATTCTAAGAGCAGCAATGGGAAACCAAGCAACATTTTAAACAGGGCTGTGATATGATTGTTTTTAAAAGGTCACTAGAGACAGAAGTGGAAATGAGAGAATTTATTTTGGGGAGAGTATTGCAGGAGTTTACACTGGAGGTGATAGTGGTTGGAGTAAGGTAGTGTCAGTGGAAATAGAAGTTGGAAACATGTTGAGTTTCAGGTACCTTTAAAATATCCAGAGGGATATATGTTAAGTAAACATTATGGAATTTGAGTTAAAAGTCTAGAATGGAGATTTAAATTTGAGGGTTGTGTATCTAAGTGGTATTTAAAGCCATGGGATCAGATAAGATTATCTAAAAAGAGGGTAGAGAACTGAGTCTTAAGGAATCCCAGCGTTTAGAAGTTGGGTAGAGGAAGCAAGAAGCCCCCAGTGAGATAGGACATGTCTAAAACTTGGACTTCCCATCTTCTGCCACAAATCTATTTTCATCTGCAGCCTTGCCCCCATTTCATTTGATGGCAACTTCAGTCTTCCATTAGGCAGGCCAAAACCTTGGCAGTAGTGTGTGTTATTAGTAAGATTGGAAACAACCTAACTATGTATGAGAATGGAACTAGTTACATTTTGATACTTTCAATCCAGAAAATACATACAATACTAATAGGTGTTGATTTCTGGGATATTATTAATAATATTTTTTTTTTTTTTTTTCAAAAAAAGGAAGATGTAAACACTAACTTTAAATATATTATTAGCAGATGTTTGCTTGCATATATATATACAATAATTTAAAGGTATATTAAAAAAGTGATAATCAGAAGGAAGGGAACTGGGAAGCTGGGAATAGGGATGGGAGGAAGGCTTCACTAGCCATGTGAATATTACCCATTGTGTTCGCATGAACCATGTGAATATACTATCCTAACCACCAAATCAGTCTTAATCTTAGCCCTTATCTGTCACCTAGACTGTGGCGTGTAACTATAAAACTTAAGGAACTGTCTACTCATTTATTCACACAGTTGCCAAGGTTATCTTTCTTAAAAAAAAGAAAAGGCGGGGGCAAATACTGCCTTAAATACATAATTCTGTGACTGTTTTGTATTATTTTTCAAACTGTTTCTAAGAGATGCTCAGGGATACATTAATATTTTCTTTTGGATCTTTGTGAGGAGAAGAAGGAGGATGCAATCAGAATAGTTTATTCAATTAATTTGCAACTCTATGAATGCCAACTATGTACTAGGCATTGGGAATTTAGCAGTAAACATGACATGTACTTATTATAATCTTAAATAAGATCTAATTGAAATCTGCTGTCTGGGCCAGGCATGGTGGCTCACATCTGTAATCCCAGCACTTTGGGAGGCTGTGTTGGGCAGATTACTTGAGGTCAGGAGTTTGAGATCAGCCTGCCCAACATGGCAATACCCCGTGTCTACTAAAAATGCAAAAAATTTAGCCGGGGATGATGGTGCACACCTGTAGTCCCAGCTACTAAGGAGGCTAAGGCAGGAGAATCACTTGAACCAGGGAGGCAGAGGTTGCAGTGAGCCAAGATCGCACCACTGTTCTCCAGCCTAGGTGACGGAGCGAGACTGTTTCAAAAAAAAAAAAAAATCTGCTGTCTGAAAACAGTTTGAAAAATGCTAATTTATGGGACACAGTCGAGGTGCTACCTTAGCCTGATCTAGCATCTGCCCCCTTTGGCATTCTGTGTCCTGACTGTTATGAAGCATTTGTTCTTTCTTTCTTTTTTTTTTTTTTTTTTTTGAGATGGAGTCTTGCTCAATCACCCAGGCTGGAGTGCAATGGTGCAATCTCTGCTTACTGCAGCCTCTGCCCCTCAGGTTCCAGAGATTCTCCTGCCTCAGCCTCCTGGGTAGCTGGGATGACAGATGCACACCGCCATGCCCGGGAAATTTTTGTAATTTTAGTGGAGACATGGTTTCGCCATGTTGGCCAGGCTGGTCTCAAACTCCTGACCTCAGGTAATCTGCCTGACTTGGCTTCACAAAGTGATGGGATTACAGGCATAAGCCACCACATCTGGCCAGCATTTGTTCTTTCACACCTCCATGTCTGTGTACATTTTTTCTTCTGCCTGGACTGCTGTACCCTTCCTTGCTCATCTCCTTTCTCTCACCTCTCACCTCTCACTCCTCTTCTCGTTTTCTTAATGATCTTTTATTTTTCTATATGCTTTCAGCTCAGTTGTCATCACTGGAATCACCTTAGGCATGTCCTTTCCACTCTCTGCTTTCCCCTAGTTCAGGAGTTGCCTTCTTTGAGCTCTAGTAGCACTTTGTATATACATAGCAATTACATTGTATTGAAATTTAAAACCTTAAATTATGAGCTCTTTGAGAGGAGGAAGAATCAAAGATATAAAGGTACTCATCTTTGTGACCACAGAGCCCAGCAATGTTAAAACAAAAGCAGTTAATCTTTTCAACTATCTTTAGGTCTTCCGTCAGCTGCAATCAGGCCAACCCCAGGCATCCACCTTAGAAAGACCATTACTTTCTTATCTGTTCTCATTGCTGGTCATCTTGGAAGAACTACATTCAGACTTGGTGGCTTTAAGAACAGAATGGAGAAATTTCAGAAGAGTGAGCAGTTACTTTCTCTCTACCCCAGCACTTTGTAGACCACTCCATCTGCTTTAACATATGCCTAAAAGCCTTATCATTTCACAGCTAGCTGTAAAAAGGTTTCAAGGACTAATATATGGGAATGATAAGAGATTGAAACTCATTGGTACTAAATCGGTAAACCAGTGTAAATGAATTACCAGACTTTTTTGTTTTATTTGATTTGGGGGCAGTTGAGCAGAACTGTGGAATGTTGGTATCTAAAGGAGGCCTCCAACATGGAAAGAAGTTATATGTGTTGTGCAAGTGGCAAAGTAGGGGATTCTTTGAAGACACCAGATTTCCCACTTTGGCCTGGAGTCATCTGTGTCTCACTACATAGACAAATATTAGCTGTAAGCTGATCTTTTTTTGTTGGTTCTCGTAATCCCCCAGTTTAGCAGAAACATTCTGTAAGCTAGATGTGGGAAAGGAATTCTGGCAAGAGTTTTGTCACTTTCATAAGGTTGTGATTTACATATTCAAGTTTTATAGTTTGAACATCTGAAAATGTATATATACTAAATATGCAAAACTCTATTGTAGAGTGAGAAGCATTTGAACTTTGAGCTTTCAGTCACTGATTTTGTAATCTTTCTCTGAGGTTAGTAGTAGTAGTACCACCCAAGGAACTACTTAGGTACCACTACTGTTTAGTGTAGAGTCCCTCTAGCTTTATCATTAAGGTTAGTTATTGATATATTTCTGATCACCTTTCCGTTAATTAGTTCTTCAATTGTTGAGTCGGTTGTTATTTTTCAACCTAAAACATTTTAGCATGGATGGTACTTATTCTAATTTGATATCTTTTCCTCATTGAACTTATGTGTGGACAATTTGTTTTCTTCTAGGTTTTGGGCGGAAAGACGTAGTTGAATATTTGCTTCAGAATGGTGCAAATGTCCAAGCACGTGATGATGGGGGCCTTATTCCACTTCATAATGCATGCTCGTTTGGTCATGCTGAAGTAGTCAATCTCCTTTTGCGAAATGGTGCAGACCCCAATGCTCGAGATAATTGGAATTATACTCCTCTCCATGAAGCTGCAATTAAAGGAAAGATTGATGTTTGCATTGGTAAGATTGTTTACTTTTCTGACTCTTCCTACTTCCTAATGTTGTAACTATGCTAAATCTGAACTGAATTGATTTGTTCATATCATCAAATTCTGTCAAGCGGAATTTAAATATTTAAGAACATTCCATGATTTAATCTAACCACTATTGGTTAGACTGAGTGTCTTTTTGTGTGTAGTACTTCTTTGGAGAATGGAATACAAAGTTCCTATAGTCTAGAAACTTGCATTCTCTTGAGAGATAAAATACACAAAGAACCAGATAAAGACATGGTGGAAGGGAATAGAGAGTGTTAAGAGGATAGTGAGCACAGTGACTTGGCAGGATCAAGTCAAGGCTCTACTTCCTGGAGTCTTTCCAGTGGAAAAGGGAAAGTCTTTCCATTGGGGAAAGAGTTAAAAAGGTAGGTGGGGATTTCTTTATAAAAAACTTTAAGGCCGGGCGCGGTGGCTCAAGCCTGTAATCCCAGCACTTTGGGAGGCCGAGGCGGGTGGATCACGAGGTCAAGAGATCAAGACCATCCTGGTCAACATGGTGAAACCCCGTCTCTACTAAAAATACAAAAAATTAGCTGGGCATGGTGGTGCGTGCCTGTAATCCCAGCTACTCAGGAGGCTGAGGCAGGAGAATTGCCTGAACCCAGGAGGCGGAGGTTGCGGTGAGCCAAGATCGCGCCATTGCACTCCAACCTGGGTAACATGAGTGAAACGCCGTCTCAGAAAAAAAAAAAAAAAAACTTTAAATACCGGGTTAAGGAGCTTGATATTAGTATGTGTAAGCAGTGTGGAATATTGAAGATTTTTTTGAGGAAGGGAACAGTGTGATAAGAGTACCTAGCATATAGTCATCCTCCACGTAACTCCATTTCAAAATGGACTACATACATAAGGGTGGTCCCATAAGATTATAATGGAGCTGAAAATTCCTGTCACCTAGTGACTTCATAGCTGTCCTAACTTCATAGCACAAGGCATTACTCAGGTTTTTGTGGTGATGCTGGGTTAACAAACCTAATGCACTGGCAATCATATAAAAGTATAGCACATAAAATTATGTACACTACATAATACTTGATAACCAACTTTGTTACTGGTTTATGTGTTTACCAGACTTTTTATTGTTTTTATAGAGTATACTCAGCAATTTAAAAAAAAAAACTGTAAAACAGCCTCAGGTAGGTCCTTTAGGACATGGTTCCAGGAGAAGGCATTATTATAGGAAATGACAGCTCCGTGTATTGTTATTGCCACTAAAGACCTTCCAGTGGGACAAGATATGGAGGTGGAAGATAGTAATATTGATGGTCCTGAGCCTGTGTAGGCCGAGGCTAATATGTGTGTCTATGTCTTAGTTTTCAACATAAAAGTTGTAAAACATTTTTTGAATAGAGAAAAGCTTATAAAGATATGAAGAAAGAAAATATCTTTGTATAGGTTTACATTGTGTTTTAAGCTGTTACCACAAAGTCAAAAAGTAAAAGTTTATAATGTAAAAAGGTTATAGTAAACTAAAGTTAATTGAAGAAATAAAAATATTTTAAAAATAAACTTACATAGCTAAGTGTACAGTGTTTATGTAGAGTCTGCAGTAATGTGTATAATATCCTAGGCCTTTACATTCACTCATCACTTACTCACTCAGAGCAACTTCCAGTTCTGCAAGCTCTATTCATGGTAAATGTCCTGTACAGATAATACCATTTCTTATCTTTTATACCATATTTAGACATATTTAGTTACAGATACACTTACCATTTTGTTACGATTGCCTGCAGTATTTGGTACAGTAATATGCTGTTCAGGTTTGCAGCCTAGGAGGAGTAGGCTATACCATCTAGCTTTGTGTAAGTATACTCTGTGGTGTTGGCTTAATGATGGACTCACCTAACAACACATTTCTCAAAATGTATCCCTGTCATTAAGCAAGTCTGTATTTTACAAAGAGTAATCTGGTAGGGGACTGGGTAGGATGGATAGATAGCATTAAGGTGACCAGTTAGGAAGCTATAAAGTAACCCAGGTGAGAAATGATGAAGGCATGACTTAGGGTGATAAGTGAATAGAAATGGCAGGATGAATAAGAAAATTATACAGTATGTGTTAAATCTTTTTGAGAATTTTTGTTAACCTGGTATTTACTTTTGTTAGACAGATTCAGGGATTTTGGACTCATTACCACCTTAACTCCATTATTTCCTAATGTAAAACAGGGACAGTTGAAATCTCTAACAGACAGAAAGCCAGTTCAGTGCACTAGAAGAAGTCCAGATGCCCTATGCTGGGCTTAAATTGGATCTGATCACCCCCACCATCCCAAATCACTATTTATGTCAGCATCACCAGCTTAGTTTAAATTAGGTCATTTATAAAGATGTGAAATGGATTTCCTAGTTACCTCTGCCCAATTCTTCTTTTCTGTATGTTATCTTAAATTGTTCCTGCCCTACGTTCAAATACATCATTTTTACCACATAACCCATCATCTGGTACCTTATAATCTCAGACATATAATTAATTAGTTTTAATAAAATAGCATTTTCCAGATATAGTTATAATCTGCACTGTCTATTATGGTAGCTAAGGACTTGCAATGTCTGAATTGAGATGTACTCTAAGGGGAAAATGGATACCATATTTCAGAGAATTAGTACAAAAAAAAGTAAAATACCTAATTTTATGTTGATTATAATATAAATGTAAATATACAATTTTTGCATGTATTAGGTCAAATGTGTTCAAATTAATTTGAACTGTTTCTTTTTTAATGTAGTTAGTTACTAGAAAATTTTGAATTATTTATGTGGCTCACATTTTATTTCTGTTGAGCAGCGCTGGTATATATAGGAGTAGAGCAGAATGGAAATTCACCCTATCAAAGAACAAGAGCTGAGCTTCCTTTCTGCGCTTATTTACTTGTCTTCCTCCAGCTCCTTATTTAGAGAGCGTACTGGAATATCTTCATAATAATACAAATAATAATATAGTACAGAGCAAAACACAAGGCTTCTCTTTTTATGTGCCTTATAATGTAGTAGTTTTGATTTGGGGTTTGTTAATTCTATTGAGGGTATCTGGATTTTAACTAAAAGTTCAATGTAATTAACCACAAAAAACTACTCAGCTGGCAACTCTTATTTATATATACCTCAGTTAAAATTTTTCCAAAGAAAAATTGTCCTTGTAAGGAGTAATTTGCACCTTGGTTTCAATGCATCTACTCCACTCCTTAGATCACTGACCTTGCACCTTACAAGTGCATTGTATTATGGGGTCAATAGTGGACAAAACAAACAGCCTTCTGATGATTATTCAGCCTTCCTGAAGAGTAGAGAGATAATGACTGATGGCCTTACAGAATTTGTTGAAAGCATAAGGAAGCTATTCAGTTTTTTAAAAAAGAATTTGCCTGTATGATTTTCTTTTGTGTGTGTGTGTGTGTCTTTTTTTTCCACCCTTAAAGATCCTACACATCTGTGTTCCCGGGCTATCTATAGCTTTAGACATTTTATTTCTGTCATGATGAACAGTCTTTCTAGCATAAGCAGTGTTCCTTTGGAATGAGAAAACAAGCTTTCAAGCAAACTTGTCTTTTTTTCCCTTATACACTCTTATCTATCCTTAGTCACTTGCCACCAGCTATATAAATAGCAAAGGAAAATCTCACACTGAACTGAGGGGAAACTTATTTACTGTGTCTGTAATGCATTAAATAATAGAATGCTTTATATATTATTTTTATATTTAAAATGTAACAGGTCCCGTTCTGACAAGATGTGAAAGGTCTTTAAACAACTTTGAGACTTTGCTAGACCAGAATCCTTGAGAAAATGATTTACTAAAATCAATTTAAGATTACCATTGAACTTCAAATAGTGTTGCTATTTTGCAGTGCTCTTACAGCATGGAGCTGAGCCAACTATCCGAAATACAGATGGAAGGACAGCATTGGATTTAGCGGATCCATCTGCCAAAGCAGTGCTTACTGGTAAGTCTGTACACTCTGGTTATTCCAGGAAGCCTGTAAAGAACACGCTTGACAGGTAGAAAATTTGCCTCCTGTGATTAATGACCTCAGCTAGATTTTAAAAATAGTGTCAATTCAGTAGCTATCCTTTTCTATATCTACATAGCTGACATTTGATTCTTATCTAAGAAAAATAAAGCTTTCTTTTCTTTTCTAATTGATGTTTAAATATGTTATTGTTGTCTTTTGGGGGGCAGAGGGTGATAGATAATTATATGTTGCTGTAGTGTATTCAGGATATTTTTTTAATAACCCTGAGTTTTTCAGATAACTTAGGCCTGCCCCTTTATGTACAGGTTGAGTCTTTTCTAATCCAAACTTCAGAACACTTCTAGTCTTAAGCATTTCAGGTAAGGGATATATACGCTATACTATTTTTTTTTAATGTATTTTAATCATTTTTGATGAAATCCTTTCAAAAAGCACTAGCCATTCTGTTGGCTTTTCAGAAGAGGATTCTAGGCACATTCATTTTAGTACCATGAAGAATGCTGGTTGTACTCTGCTGTAACATATTTATGTCCTTGGAACCTATTCCTATGCATAAGGCCAGAGTATAGATTGACAAGCTTTCCTGAGTTGTATCCACTTCACATTTTTTCTCCCTTGTTGGTGTGCTTTCCTCTTAGCAACTCTGCCATATTATTTACCAGATTCTTATCTACCTTATGATGACTAGAATCATACCTAATCTAAAAGTCAAGAGCCTAAGGGGCATTGCTATGAGCTCTGTGGCTGGATTTTGTGATATTTCTTCTAACATTGCTGAGAAAATTTAGACTTCTTCGTGAAAAGACTTCTAGAAGTGTGCACTATTATTGTGACTGTCAATCCAGTGTTCATTTTCTCCTTCACTAGTTCATGTTATTCCGTGCTTTTATTTTTGTTTTTTAAATCTTGGGGTTCAAAAGAATCATTTCCTTGGCAGTCAGTACATAATTCACATTGTGTGCAGCAATTTGGATGTCATTCAGCAAATCATTATATTAATATAATTTTACTGGTTTTATAGTTTTGTTTGTATTCATTTGTAAAAGTAAAGGCTGTAAAAATAGAGTTCATAGTTGATCTATTTTTATATTTGTATATATTTAAAATAGCATTAAATAAACATGATATTAGTGTTGAAAAATCTTCTAGGTTCATAAAGATGTTAATGATTATGTTTAATCAGTATTGCTATAGATTCTTTGGTCATTCTATAATGTTGATATAGTGAATTTTGATTAGGGGTTTTTTTGGTTGTTGTTGGGGTGTATGTGTTTTTGTGTATGTGTATCAGGGTCTCACTCTGTCGCCCAGCCTGGAGTGCAGTGGTGCAATCACAGCTCACTGTACCCCTAACCTCTCTGGGCTCAGGTGATCCTGCAACCTCAGTCTCCCGAGTAGCTGGGATTACAGGCATGCATCACCACACCCAGCCAATTTTTGTATTTTTTGTAGAGAGAGGGTTCCCCATATTCCCCAGGCTAGTCTCTAACTCTTGGGCTCAAGCCACCTGCCCACCTCGGCTTTCCAAAGTACTGGGATTATAGACATGAGCCAGTACCCCCGGCCTTCTTTAGGTTTGGGTCAAAGTTGTAGATATATTTTGTTTCTTTGTAACAAAAATAGCTTATTCATTTTAAGAATTTTGAAGGGAAAAAGGAAAAGGTCACCAATAATTTATGACCCAAGACAAACTTTGTTAATATTTTGGTATATTTTCTTCTGGGCTTTCCTTTTCCTGAGCATATTGTTTTTATATAGTTGAGGTTGCCCTTCATTGTAAAATAGAATCATTCTTGTTTTTACTCCCGTAACAAAGGTATTTTATGTTTGTTCTTTATGCAGATATTTTTAAACTACATAATTTGTTAATGAACTATTTTCCATTTATTGGAAATGTACTTCCAAATTTATCACTTTATAATTCATTGGGCATCTTTTTGCATAAAACTGTCATTGATTTTTCTTTTTAATTTCTATACTTGTTTTTTTCTAATTCACAGGTGAATATAAGAAAGATGAACTCTTAGAAAGTGCCAGGTATGTACTAATGTTATAAATATGTGACAGGAATATTTCACCATTAACTTTTTTTTTTTTTTTTTTACAGTAAGCAGACTTAAAAAAAATTTTTTTTTTTAATGGTTACAGTACATATCTCAAAGAAGATCTGATAAAGAGTGCAAATTGCTAATATTTTTTTTATATTCTAGGAGTGGCAATGAAGAAAAAATGATGGCTCTGCTCACACCATTAAATGTCAACTGCCACGCAAGTGATGGCAGAAAGGTACTTCCTTTTGAAACTGAGTTTGTGCTTATCTCCTGGTAACATAAAGATAAAGATGTGTTTATCTTATGATAAATTGAAATATATTTGAAGAGAGTACTGATGTTTTCTTTTAAGCAGTATTTCAAACTCTTAAGCTCAGTAAAACTTTATTGATGATAAACAGTTATTTGCTTCCCATATGCAATAGTGAATTTATAAACTTGTATACTATGCCTTCAATATGTATGTTGGATTTTGTAAAACCAAATGGATAACTACTTAGACAATGAAGTTATAATTGGATTTTCTGGTTTTATATTTGGGTTTTTACCTTCTCACACATTTTATTCAGCCGTTATTTGAATTTCACTAACTTATTTGATTAATATTTCAGTCAACTCCATTGCATTTGGCAGCAGGATATAACAGAGTAAAGATTGTACAGCTATTATTGCAACATGGAGCTGATGTCCATGCTAAAGATAAAGGGTAAGCATTTGAACAAAAACAGGGACTGTTTAAGTGTTACTGTCTTAAAACAATCTTTATAACCTTATAAAAATCATATTTTTACTAAAGAACATTAATATATATTGGGCTTTTACAATGTGCAGGTTGCTCTGAGGGCACAGGAAATTAAAAAACCTTAAGCCCACCACTCATAAAAGGTTTACATTACACTTCAGAGGGCATGAAAAGATACCTAAGAATACAGTGTGGTCTCTACCAAGTGTTGGGTCATGGAAAAGGATAGTACTGCAGGAGTTCCCAGGAGGGAACTCTTAGTGATGGTTGCCTGGGGTGTTTGGGAAATCCCTCAGAATGAGGTGTTACTTGACCTGGACTGTAAAGTCAGGTCTCAATTCAAGAAAGCAAAGAGTTTGGGGAACATTACTCTGTAAGACAATTGGGATAAGTCGGGGGTGCTAAAGCAGATACTAGACTAGCTTTGCTGGAGCAGATGATTCACACAAGAGATAAATGAAGGTTAGGATTAGAGAAATAGGTAAGAACCAGGTTTTAGAGGACTTGGTATTTAGCCTAAGTAATTCAGACTTCATTCTGTGATCTGAAACAAAGGGAATGATTATTCTAAATGAAGTTTTAGGAGGTGCATTTGAAAGCAGTGTGTTGGCTAAACTGGAGAGAGAGGAGACTAGAAGCAAAAACAGCAGTTAGGAAAGTGAGCATTCCAGAGGTTTCGGCATAATCAGGATCCATAATAATGGTGGTAGAAGAAATGAAAATTAAGGATGCAAGAAATATTGCAATGTAAGAATGGATGAGATTTGTTGAATGGGTATGATTAGCGAGAAGTAAAAAGAAAAAAATACTACACTCTCAAGTTCTGAATGAGTTAGATCTAATAATACCCATATGAAATACAGGAGGCAAAATTGTTTGGGAGGACAATGTTGAATTGACTTCTAGAACTCTTATTGTTTGTTTGTGATTTTGTTTATGTTTTTGTTTTTGCGTTTATTTTATTTATTTATTTATTTTTTGAGACAGCCTTGCTTTGTCACCCAGGCTAGAGTGCAGTGGCGTGATCTCAGCTTACTGCAATTTCCGCCTCCCAGGTTCAAGTGATTCTCCTGCCTCAGCCTCCTGAGTAGCTGGATTATAGGCGCCTGCCACCACACCTGGCTAATTTTCATATTTTTAGTAGAGATAAGGTTTCACTATGTTGGCCAGGCCGCCCTTGTACTCCTAACATCAGGCGATCCACCTGCCTTGGCCTCCTAAAGTGCTCAGATTATAGGCATGAGCCACCGTACCCGGCCTAGAACTCTTAGTTTAATGGGACAATTTAGGAACACAGTGGAAGCATCTAGCAGGTAGTTAGGAATGAAACTGGTGCTCAGGCAAGTGAAGAATCATATATTCAAAAGTATTAAGGGAAGCCATGAACCTTTAAAGAGAGGACTCATAGAACTAAAGACTAAATCACAGGTGACCATCCCTTACCAGAAGCTGGCATGATGGTGGCTGTGGCAGTATATTAGTGAGTGATCCCAAAGGAGAAGGAAAAGCTTAAAGGTAGAAATGAGGATTTTAAAGTTTCACTGTATCTTCCCATATGGAAAGTTCCTCCTCCATTCCCATCATGGAGGAATAGGATTTCAGTTTATTAAGGGTCTCAAAAAAGTTTTAAAAATTAGCCAGTATTTGAGTTACGTCTGGAAAAGACATGTAGAAATGAACCAGAACAAAGCAAGGAGGGAAATCTATACCCAGGGAACAATATGTGTACAGACATACTGGAAACTGTAAGTTTAGCATACCATTATTGAAGGGTAAGCCTAGAGAGGGAGTCAGGTCATTTTGTATGCCATGTTAGTAAGTTGGAACCATCTTTTGAAAGCACAAAAAAAAATCCATTAAGGATGTTAAGATGTAACTACGTTGGACTTACCTTTTAGAAAAATCTGCCTCAGCTTGGAGGATAAAGTGGGGTGGGGCCTATTTCAATAGTACAAGGAAGAAATAATGTAGGCCAAAACTAAGGCAGTGATGGTAGCAGTGAAGTACAAAGGAAGATGGATGTGAAAGAGACTTGGGAGTTCAAATTCTTAGGACTTAGGGTTTAAATGGATGTTACAAAATTTTGGACGTTTTTATTAGAACATCATGTAATCCATTTGCTATTTAAGTACAAGTAATTAATTAAATAAATTTTAATTTGTAAATTTCCCTAGGCCTAAGGAATCTATACTAAAACAGGATTTCTCCTCCCCCCCTTTTTCATTGTAGTGATCTGGTACCATTACATAATGCCTGTTCTTATGGTCATTACGAAGTTACTGAACTTCTGGTCAAGGTTAGTGCTCTTGTACTCTCCTAGTTACTTTCTAGAGTTATATAAAATCACTTGAAATACATGAGTATATCTGGGTTTCTTTTTATTTTCTGTGTTCTTAGTGCTTGAAGAAGAAGTATTTATAAGCATTATAAAATATAAGTGACTGATAGCTCAGCATTTGACTGCTTTGAGTTTTTTGAGATACCACATGATTTTTGTTTTTATTTTGGAGACAGGGTCTGACTCTCACCCAGGCTGGAGTGCAGCAGTCTTGGCTCACTACAACCTCCACCTCCAGGGTTCAAATGATTCTTCTGCCACAGCCTCCTGAGTAGATGGGATTTCAGACATGCGCCACCACACCTGGCTAAGTTTTGTATTTTTAGTAGAGACAGGGTTTCACCATGTTGGCCAGGCTGGTCTCGAACTCCTGACCTCAAGTGATTTGCCTGCCTCGGCCTCCCAAAGTGCTGGTATTACAGCTAAGAGCCACCACACCCAGCCTAGTTATCATATTTTTTAAATACAAAGTAGCAATATCATCTTGCTACACATCATCTGGTGGCACATATCTGAAATCCCACGTACCCAGGAGGCTGTGGAAGAAGAACTGTTTGAACCCTGGAGGTGGAGGTTGCAGTGAGCCAAGATCGTGCCACTGCACTCCAGTCTAGGCAAGAGTGAGAACTTGTCTCAAAAAAAGAAAAAAAAATCATATGAAATATCAGATTAAGTGATTCCGTAATTTGTAGCTAAAGGTAAAGTTTCAAAACTCTTAAGAAAGCAGTTTTTAGTGAACCATATTTTGTTAAAACCACAAGAGATATAATAGCAAGATTTGCCAATTATACTTTGAGTTGGAGCAGTCTCATTTGGTAAGGTTCACTTCTTCCAGTATGCTCAATAGCTGTTTAACAAACAGTCCCCCAAGACTAGCAAGAAACATTTTTTTTTTTTTTTTGAGACAGAGCCTTGCTTTGTCACCCCGGCTGGAGTGCAGTGGCACAATCTCAGCTCACTGCAACCTCTGCCTCCTGGATTCAAGTGATTTTCCTGCCCCAGCCTCCCAAGTAGCTGGGATTACAGGTATGTGCCACCATGGCCAGCTAATTTTGTATTTTTAGTAGATATAGGGTTTCACCATGTTGGCCAGGCTGGTCCCAAACTCCTGACCTCAGGTGATCCGCCCACCTCAGCCTCCCAAAGTGTTGGGATTATAGACGTGAGCCACCGTGCTCAGCCCGAGACTTCCATTTTGATCCTAAGAGTAGAAGATATATATTATTTTTGGAAGTGGATCCCAGGATGTTACCCATACCCATTTAACTTGTGTTACCCTGCACCCATTCTACCCTTTCAGTACTTTTCCCCACTCTCTCAGCAGCTGTCATGGAAAGAGAAAGGACACTTGTTTCCATTGCCTCTGTGGTTCCTTTTGGGCCTGCATCCTATGAAATACAGTTTCCCATAGAAACAACTTTATAATAATAATTAGATACTCTGAGTAGTATATAAACCTTATTAAACTTATAGTGTGGCTATAATGTTATACATTTGTAACAGTAATGCTTTTGCTTCTTGTAAAACTGAATCTTGACTCCAGCAGAACATTTGAAAGTGACTGTGGTTAAGAATAAAGTATCAAGCAGATTTGCACTGGGACTCAAAGACAACTGAGTGGTGTTTTCCTAAGACCTAATGTTTTACTAAATAAGAATGAGAGGCTGACTAGAGGTCATACCTACAGAGGGGTTTAGCTGGCGTGAGGGTGTAAGTAGTTACCAGGGTAGTAAAGTTAACGCAAAGTCAGGAGAAAGCAAGTAGATAGGGATTGAGAATGCAGGTTCTGGGCAGTGCTGAGTCGATTGGCAGTCCTTTCCTAAATAGTTCAGCTAGCAGAAGCTGGCATTTAACAGCAAACACCCAGTGACTGCTTTCCATGACCAGGGCATTTGCTAGCCATGGAAGGTACTAAGATATGATCCCTGGACAAAGCATTCAAATAATGAAGGTCTGGCACTAACAGGCACAAGAATAATGGAATTCTCTTAACGTTCTTCCTCATAGTCTCTGAGTACTAGGAAGCAAATGGACAGATCTGGCTGGAATGGAGAGAAAAATTCTGTCAGACAGATTCATAATTAATTAAACCACTGTGCAGAGTGTCAACTGATATTTCTTTGCTTGGAAGGGAATGTTGGGACCTCCACTGGGGCTTGAAGGTTCTATCTTTGCCTTTATTTTGGTGCACACCTTTATTGTTGACTTGGTAAAAAATTAGAAGGGGTAAGCAATTTGCAGATTAACATGAAGCCGAGAAGGATAACTGATACTCAGGTTGATAGAATCAAGACTCAAAACCACCTCACCAGGCTCCAAGCTTTGGTTGAAGCCAGTAAGATTAAATTTAATGAGGCTCAGCAAGGACGCTTAAATTCACGAAAATAAGTCGCACACAAGAACAAGATGAGTGAAGAGAAAATACTTTGGTGTTTATTTCATGCTTAAAAAATAATACAGAGTTCTTAAATGACCCATTAAGTCAATTAAAGTATTAATTGTAATGTGACAACTTAAAAAGCTATCATAACTTTGTGCCAATAGTAGAATAGTATTGCAAGCAAATATAATGGGTGCACTGTACTCTGTACAGCCAAACCACACTGGAATCTTTGATTTTAGGATCTCATTTTTTAATTTTTAATTTTTTTATTTTTGGTTGCTGGGAAAGGGTCTTACCCTGCCACCCAGGCTGGAGTGCAGTGGTGCAATCATGGTTCATTGCAGGCACAACCTTCCTAGGCCCAGGTGATCCTCCCACCTCAGCCTCCCAAGCAGCTGAAACTACAGGCATGGTGCCACCACACATGGTTAATTTTTTTATTTTTTTGTAGAGACAGATTTCACCACATTGCCTAGTTTGGTCTTGAACTCCTGAGCTCAAGTGATCCACCCACCTTGGCCTCCCAAGGTACTAGAATTACAGGTATAAGTCAGTCCACCTGTCCTCAATTATTTTTCAATGAATTTCTTAAAGTATATTTAGCTAAGGGGCCACCACGATAATAAGTGGAAACCATCTGATACAAAAGATGAGTATCCTTTATGACGACTTTTGCTCCAAAGGCAAATAGATGAAAGTTAAAAGTACATATTTTAACTTAATGTAGAAAAAAACTTTCTAACAACAGGAGTTCTCTAGTAATTATAAAAAGCCATGTTAGCTGCAAATTAGCTCCCCATTGTCGAATATACTGAAAGAGTAAGATCACCTTAGATGAATGCTGGAGAAGGAAATTTGTGTTTGATTGGTTAAACTAGTGTGACTCCTTTGGTCCATACTTAGCCAACTGTAGTACTTGGAAATGGCTAAAATTAAAAAGTTTCACAATACAAAATGTTAGCAAGGAATATGTAGCAACTGGAACTCAAATGTTGCAGTGTAGCAGTGGAACTCAAATGTTGCTGGTGGCTGTGTAAAATACTCTAGATACTTTAGAAAACTCTTTGACTGTTTCTAATAAAGCTAAACATATCTACCATGACAGTATATGTTCATAAAGAAATGTTTATGATAGCTTATTTATAACGCAGGTTGAGTATGCATCATCTGAAATGCTTGAGACCAGAAGTGTTTCAGATTTCAGATTTTTTTGGATTTTAGAATATTTGCATATATACTATTTAATGAGATATCTTGAGACTGGAACCCAAGTCTACACATGAAATTCACTTATGTTTCATATACACCTTATACATATAGCCTGAAGATAGTTTTATATAATATTTTTTAACAATTTTATACATGAAACAAAGTTTGCGTGCATGAGGTTGGGTATGGAATTTTCCACTTATGGTGTCATGTTGGTATTCAAAAGTTTTGGATTTTGGAGTATTTTACATTTCAGGTTTTCAGATTAAAGTGCCCAACCAGCCAACTAGAAACAGTCCAAATGTCCATTAACAAGATGATAAATAAGTGAATTATGGCATGTCTCTACTGTGAAATACTGCTCAACAAAAAAATGAACTACTTGTACAATAACATGAATGAATCTCAGAAACATTGTATGTATGAAAGAATCTAGACAGAGAAGTACATACGTTAGAAATTTGTATTCTTCTATTTTTATGAAATTGAAGAACAAATAAGTTTAATATGTGGTCAGAATAGGGGCAGGAATTGTCTGTAAAAGGAGCATGAGGAAACATTCTGGGGTAATGAAAGTGTCCTATATTTTGATTTGGGTGATGGTATCACAGATATATACATTTGTCTGAATTTGTCAAATTTGTGTGTTTCACTGTATGTCAGCTATACCTCAAGAGGAGAATTTGTTCTTGAAAAAGATGCAGATTAAATCTACAGCCTCATTCTTAACTGTTCTTAAAAGTAGAAATGTTAAGTAGACCCTTGTTAGTAGGGCTAGCAATCAGCTATTTTTTCCATTGGGGAAAAATGTATACTCATTCTGAAATAATTGGCTTAAAAAGTGAACTTTGGCAACATAATCTGTTTTAGCTAGTATGATGTTAAATTACACAGTACTAATAATTCTGAATTCTTTTAAAAATTGAACATTAGATGTGTGCTTTTTGCTCTCCAGCATGGTGCCTGTGTAAATGCAATGGACTTGTGGCAATTCACTCCTCTTCATGAGGCAGCTTCTAAGAACAGAGTTGAAGTATGTTCTCTTCTCTTAAGTTACGGTGCAGATCCAACACTGCTCAACTGTCACAATAAAAGTGCTATAGACTTGGCTCCCACACCACAGTTAAAAGAAAGATTAGCATGTGAGTATAACATTATAAATGTTCAGGTAGGATATTATATCAATAAACTGAACATTTTTTCTTTCCTGTTTGTAGAAATGTTTAAATAGTAGATATTTTTCTTAGCCACAGGTATATACTATTGTTTAGCATATTTAATAATTTAGAAGTTTCTACTTGAGATACTATGAAAACTTAATTAATTTTTTCAAGTCAAGTTATATGCTTTTTATATGTACTATATTAGATGTATTTGATGATATGCCTTTGAAATGAAAGCTTTTGGTTTGTTTTTATCTTTGATACGACTTTTCTGTTTAATGAAACATATGAATTTGTCAAGTTAAAGCTTTATAAGATTGCCATCTTGTCTGTAAAAGAAAATAAATAATTAAAAAAAAATTTTTTTAAAGATTGCCATCTTGTAAACAGTCTCCAGATCTTAACATCTATTATTCAGTGGCACCTGGGCCAATTTCTGTGGTTTTCTGTCTATAGCTGAAGTAGATGTAGTAAGAAATAACCACCTAGTTTGGATACAGTATTAGTACATATAAATAAGCAACTTATATTGGACTTGTATTATCCTGCAATGATAAAGGATAAATGGTAGTTCCACAAGTCTGATGAGTAAAAGAGAATCTTAAGGAAAACTTCTTTTATTTTTTCATCATCATGGGTGACATTTGCAAATATCCAACTTGTCTAGTTCCCAGTTCCCTGATGGTATTAGCAAAACTATCTGCTATAGCCGTGGTGTCAGTGTAGGGATCACTATTTCTTTTCTGAGAAAAATTTTGTGCTTGAAAAATTCTAAAACCTTTCTGGCCTAGGAATATGTGGTAGTACTCTAGATATCTCAAAATGAATTATTAATTAGAACAGACCATGAGTCTGCCATGGGCTAAATCTGTGTATACTCTTAGGGCCAAATGTCTCTGCAATTGCGCTATAACTGGAGGGACCTGGAGTACACTGTCTGTTTTCAGGGATTAAATTTGGAGAATATCTTTAGAGCCTAAATCTGGCTATTTTGACAGATTATTTTGAAAATAATTTCAAGGAAAATACTAGGTGTCTTTTAGGTAAGCCTTGTAAATTTGATCTTGTTGTAGATGTAAATGCTTTTTCTTTATCCAGATGAGTTTAAAGGCCACTCATTGCTGCAAGCTGCACGGGAAGCTGATGTTACTCGAATCAAAAAACATCTCTCTCTGGAAATGGTGAATTTCAAGCATCCTCAAACACATGAAACAGCATTGGTAATGTTTCAGATTTAAGTTTTTAAAATACAATTAACCAAGAACATGCTAAACTAATCATAATATCCTACTTTTAGAACTAGCATTTTTTTAAGTCTGTAGTTTGTAAAAAATTAGTGCCCATATAAGTATTTTTTTTTAATTTGAACAGTGACGAAAAATAGACAGCCTCACCCTGCAGAAGGCAATACTACTACCAGTTCGAGAATCCTTCCAGAAAAAAAATTTATTCAGATTCTGGCATATATTATATATAATGCTTTTATTATCATAAATGGTACATATAGTTTGCCTTTTTAGGGGTTGTAAAAAATGAATGCTTAGGGTAGAAAATTTGGAACCCAATGAAAATAAATAATACCACCAACCGTATGAAAACACTTGATGTAGTTCCTTCCAGTATTGCAGTTTTCTTCAAAATTAGATCTAGAATGTGAATAAAGTATTTTAGAGATTACTTCCCTGATAGAAGTAATAATAACTGTGGAGCTGTGACAAAATAGATGTGAGTAGAGAAGTCTAAGGAAAAACAATCAGAAAAGAATGGGAACTGATAGGGATACATGATAAAAGATAAGAGAGGGAATGGTAAAATCAGGGGTTACCTTAAAATTGAAAGGTAGAAAAAAAAGAAACAAAGGTAGGAATTTAAAAGGAAAAAAGTAAATCCTATTGTATGAGTTGCAGAATGTGCCTTGGGTGAGAGAAGATAAGTGAATTAATATGTGTAAAAGCAGATTAAACTCATGGTAGCTTTACTTACCTAATATCTTTTATGGTAAGTTTTCTTCCTTATGCCATCATGTAAACTGTGGAATTTATGTAGAAACCTACCTATAAAGCATTTTGGACCTTTTGCTGTATTAAGAAACATCTAAATTTAAACAAAAAAAATAGCAAAGCTATAGACTAACAAGAAATGCTAGTATAAAATTAAAACCACAGCTGCATTAAACTGTACAAAGAAACTTGGAAAGACAGACGTGGAAAATTCTGGTTGGAAAAGCTAATAGTACCTGTTGTTTTCCCCTAAATATACTGCTGTTAAGCAACTTGTTTTTGTAATTAACCTTAAAACACACTAAGAGTTAAGTGTTGGTGAGTGGTTGTGGTACAGTAGCAGTTTCTTCCATGTTCCCAGAGATTTACAGGCCCTGCTCCGTGATGGTACAGAGGACTGGGTATAATTTGAGGTAGATGTGATTTAAAAAAAAAAAGTCTTTAAAAAACCATGTCTATTCTCTGTGCTCTCATGATAGATGTCCTGGGATGATTACCCTTAACATACCAAAGGATCTATGTTCTCCAGTTAGAACTGATTTTATTGAGGGTAAAGGAATGATTTTGGTGACAGCAACATCAAAGAATGGGTCTGCAGCAAAGTCATGAGGATCTGATAAGCTTTATGATTAACAACAGGTTAAAATCAAAGAACAAATTTCATGTGTACTGTGTTTTTAGATACATAGAGCAACTTAGCTGAAAAATTACCCATGACATTTATTCTATAGGTTTTCGGGTTTCAGTTTTAACTTAACATACGTGCATTGATTTAGTTGTATATCATTCAGACATTATTGAACACCTGTTGTGCAGATATTAGGCTTAGGCTTTTAACTGGGAAATCTCTACCTCCTGTATCCTTTCCTCTTGGATACGTCATAGAGATGCTGCAGCCTCAAACTCCAGATTATATCATTTTTCTACCACTGATTTTGCAAAGAGGTAATGCATGTTCCTTATGCTGCTGAAGCAGCTAGTTGAGAGAGATATAAATACTTCTCAGCTTATTAGCTGTTCCGTCAGTGCTATTACCAAACAGAATCCAGAACTGATGAGTATTCTGTTATTTCTTTTCTTTTCTTTGAGACAGAGTCTTGCTCTGTCGCCTAGGCTAGAGTGCAGTGGTGCAATCTTGGCTCACTGCAACCTCCGACTCTTGGGTTCAAGTGATTCTCCTGTCTCAGCCTCCCAAGTATCTGAGATTACAGGCGAGCGCCATCACGACTGGCTAATTTTTGTATTTTTAGTAGAGAGGGGGTTTCACCATGTTGGCCATGCTGGTCTTGAAGTCCTGACCTCAGGTGATCTGCCCACCTCAGCCTCCCTAAGTACTGGGTTAACAGGCGCGAGCTGCCATGCCCGGCTATATTCTGTTATTTCTTCATGTGAAGAAACCTCAACCTTTGGGGTGTTTTCTTAACCTTTAAAGTATTGCATAACACAATGCTACATGGGAACAATTTTTAAAAAGATACTGGTCACATTAAGGTTTTCATCACACCAGTGGTAGCTTTTTCAAAGAGGTAGGACAACTGTAAAGTTTGATCAGAATAATTAATAATAGATATTATCTTGTAGGTAGGATTTTCAGGCCCTGTCACAATTTGGTGATTATTGCAGTTCTATTCAATCAAAAGTCAAGAGCAAAGTTGCATCAAAAGTAAAACAGAGATTAAATAACGACTACTTGATTGTTCTTGATTGGAAACACGAGTATTCTTAAAACCATTTTGTATAGTCCTTGATTAATGCTGCAATTTAAATTATTTAGCATTGTGCTGCCGCATCTCCATATCCCAAAAGAAAGCAAATATGTGAACTGTTGCTAAGAAAAGGAGCAAACATCAATGAAAAGACTAAAGAGTAAGTATACATTTAATAATTAAATATTATTGAGATTTTACTCTTTTGGAAAGTATATTCATTGTCTGGCTGACTTTTTCTCTTTAAGATTCTTGACTCCTCTGCACGTGGCATCTGAGAAAGCTCATAATGATGTTGTCGAAGTAGTGGTGAAACATGAAGCAAAGGTATTCTTCCTTTATGGTATCTTTGATAATGCAATGAGTTATTTTTTATTTAGCGGGTGAAATGCCTGACTGTCTAAACTATTTACTTTCTCATAAGTATTACATTTTTTCCCTCATAATCTGTGTTTAAGAATTATCCTGCAGGTAACCTTTTTTACGTCTAATTTTTGCTGGAACTTCTATAGGTTTATTCAGATACACATTCTTTCTGTATGTCCTCCCTTCTCCATTCCTTTTACCACACCCTACAGGTCAAAGTTATTCTTAAAGACTTTTTGGGACCCATCATCTTTTCTACTCATCTTTTTTCACCCATATCTTCTAATTCTTCGTTGCTATTATAACTTCTGTTATTCATCCTAACCACCATTTTTATTACCCTCTGTCATTTCTGTAACTAAGCCAAAGGACTTGAACGGAAGGAAATACATTAATTTAAAATCATTTAAATAATTTGACTAAAAGTAATTTGACTGAAATGAAAAGACTAAAGAATAAGTATACATTTAATAATTAAATATTATAATAAGTCACCAATAGAATTTGAATTGGCCAGTGTCCCAAAACATACTAGTTTCCACAGGATAAGTTTTGTTGGTAAGTTACTGTTCTTTAGTTGACGTTTGTGGACAAAGCATTTTATTCACCAAATACGCTTTCATCAAGGCTAGAAATAATCTCTTACCCAGGAACTTTTAAAAGTACTACTAAGCAAAAATATACATAGCATATCAGATTGGAAGAAATGACAGTAGTCACCTGATTCAGCAGTTTTTAACAGTTTTTAGTCATAGATCCTTGCCTCCTTCAAACAAAATCTTTAGTTGAAATTCAGTATACTCTATAACAGAGAAAGAATTGAGCCTCTATAGATGAAGGGAGAAGAAAGGAATAGACACTCTTCTCCTTGGATGGCCCCTGAGGCCCTTGGATAAATGAAATCTGCAGAATAGTTTTCTTACCTGTCCTTTCTTGGGTTTCCATTAATTCAAGAAACCACTTAGAGTTCTCCAATTTATTTTTGTGTTGCCTCTCCGTGTCTTAATTTCTCTTTGATTTGGGGGAATTCTTGATACTGTATAATCTTGATCTTTTCCTATTGTAAATTATTGAATAAAATAAAGTTTATTTCTGCTTGACTGCTTGGCATATCTTGTCTCTCTGTTCTATAACTGTTGATTGCTTTTTTCGTATTTGTGCTACATTACTTGAAGAGTATCTGAATGCATATTAAATTAGAGTTGTGACACTCAGTGAAACAATCTTGACTAGGGTGATCAACCATCCAGTTTTGTCCAGGACTTGGGGTTTTCTGGGACACAGGACTTTCAGTGCTAAAACCAGGAAAGTCCTAGGCAGACTAGAACAAGTGGTCACCCTAATCCTAACACAAAGTGGTACCCAAATAAAATTTTCAAGTGGGTATTTTTCACATTTCAGTGAGTTAGAGTATGTGAATAAATAGTTTGATTGTCCTGAGCATTTTAAATCAATTTTTCAGGCCCTGTAAGCAGGGAGACTAGCTAGTCATACTTCAGTTTTAGGTTCATTGAGGTCTTGATTATATTCCCATTCAAATACACTATCTGATTCCGTGAATGTAAATTTTCAGTGTCTCAGAATACACTAGTGTCTGCAGGATTGATTACTGAGGAACTTAATTTCTTAGTTATATTGAAGATATTTCCATGGCAGGGGAGGGAGGTATGGGGGTAGGGATAAGGTTGGTAGAGTCTTACAGGTGATTCTTTTTATCTTGAAAAATTTCGAAGATATAACCAAGTAGAAACAATTTTATAGAGAAAAAGTATCTGCCTACCACTTAGATTCTATTACTAACATTTTACTGTAGTGTTTTATTACATATCTTTTCGTTTTTCCCTCCATCCACCAGTATCTCTTTTTGACACATTTCAAAGTAATTTGCAGACTATTTCTCCTGAATACTTCCCCTTTCACATCAAGTAGAGTTTAATCTTTGTTTACAGTTTTTCTTTAGATGTAAAATTTGAATGCAGTGAAATGTAGAGATCTTAAATGGATATTTGCTGAATTTTGACTAGTACATACACCTGCATAACCAAAACTCCTATCGAGATACAGAACAGTATCTCATGGCAAAAGCAATGCACAGTCCCAGGCAATCTCCACTTTGACAGATAACCATTTTTATTTTTTCTGACATAAAAGTGCCTGTTCTAGGCCTTGACATACATGGAATCATAACAAAATTTATGCTTTTGTGTAAGGTTTTTCTCACATTGTGTAAGGATTTGGAGATTCATCCATGTATCAATAGTTTGTTCCTTTTTATTGCTGAGTATTCCACTGTGTGACTATTCCATAGTATGTGTATCTACATATTTTACATAACACACTCAATGAAACAATAATAAATAAGGGAAAAGATTAAGTGAATAGAAATAAGGTTTTAATGCTAATTTATCTCTGGTTTTGTTACTATTGTCTATCTTGGGTTAATCTTTACATTTCTACACTTTACAGATCCATAAAAATACATGGGTTCAGCTTTCTTAGAACAATGTTTAAATATCTCTGAATCTGTGAATGCTTTAATGATAAACACAACTACTATTTAGCATCTCACATTTAACCCAGAACTGGATCTTCCTCCTGATGTTAGCCTTCATGAATTGGTAATTTTCTAGATTTGATCAAAAATAACTTGCTGTGGCCGGGCGCGGTGGCTCAAGCCTGTAATCCCAGCACTTTGGGAGGCCGAGGCGGGTGGATCACGAGGTCAAGAGATCAAGACCATCCTGGTCAACATGGTGAAACCCCGTCTCTACTAAAAATACAAAAAATTAGCTGGGCATGGTGGCGCGTGCCTGTAATCCCAGCTACTCAGGAGGCTGAGGCAGGAGAATTGCCTGAACCCAGGAGGCGGAGGTTGCGGTGAGCCAAGATCGCGCCATTGCACTCCAGCCTGGGTAACAAGAACGAAACTCCGTCTCAAAAAAAAGAAAATAAATAAATAAATAAATAACTTGCTTTGGCATTGGATAATAGGCTTCATAAAAGAATTGAGACTTAAAAGTAGTAAAAAGTGTTGAATACATGATAGCATGGCTTTAAATTTTGCATTGCAGGCTAATTTCAATTTTTTCTGCATTGTTAAGGTTAATGCTCTGGATAATCTTGGTCAGACTTCTCTGCACAGAGCTGCTTATTGTGGTCATCTACAGACCTGCCGCCTACTCCTGAGCTATGGGTGTGATCCTAACATTATATCCCTTCAGGGCTTTACTGCTTTACAGATGGGAAATGAAAATGTACAGCAACTCCTCCAAGGTATTATATGCTTCCATGAAATTAATTTTTTTAATTAATCTTTAAAAAATTTTCACTTATCAGGTGTTAGAGGTAGGAGTTGGTAATAAGAAAAAAATTTTGAGGATTTTTGGTTACTTCTTAGGTTATTGTACTTTTAATCAGCTCAATATCCTCAGTCCTCAAGTGTCATTAAATGATAATTATGATTTTTGTTCCAGTAGCATTTTCTGGCCAATTTCTCAAGTTAAATAGATAGCTCTCAAGTTTTTATTGAGAAAGTTATAAGAGTAAGATAAAATAGTTGTTATTTATTTTTAAAGAAAGGAATTTTTAGATCCTACATATTCAAGGCAGGTAGAGTTTGTATAAGGTAGCCAACTATTTGACTTATTAAAACCTTTAACAGCTGAATACACTCATATTCATTACATTTTAAAAGATTTAATCAAATGTCTACACACTTGGCATTGATGAAACATTTCAACCTAGAGATATGGTCCCATAAATTTTAAAGTATTTTTGTCTAAATCTCCACTTTTATTAGAATTTAATACAGTAGTTTTGACATCTGAAAGCTCAGTCGAGAAACATGTAATAGATCAAGATTTTCTGTCTTTAACAGTCAGTCCGATGATCTTTATGCCTTTGGTCTGGGAACCATGTTTTGAGAAACACTGCTTGAACAGATAAAGGCAGATTGATAACAGCCTCCTGGAATCTGCCAAAACTGTGAACTACAAGACTGCTTTCAAGATTCCCATTACTTCCCCCACACATCACACATTCATTTCATTGTCAGTTTTGGGGTTAATAACACTGGTCCTATTCAGTTGGCTAGTAATAGAATGTATTTAGTTTCTATCACCAGCCAACTGATAGAACAGTTTTATACCAATTACCATTGCGTATGGCTTTTACTTGCCTTTGTAACTAGCTTCTTACAGTAAATTATTGAAGTGGAATTTCCAGGTCAAAGGGTAGCATTTAATTGTGAAATCATTTTCTATTAATAGGAAGCTGGTATTTACCATTTTACAGTCACAGTAAGAGTATGTGAAGCACCCGTTTTCTGTCAGCATTAGATATTACAATTCTTAATATTTTCCTTGAGTGAATGTGCATGTGTGAATTACAGAAGTAATAGATTTTAATGCTAACTATAAAAGTCCCATCAGTGTAGCTCTTCATTTCCTCTCTGCCTACTAGCAGATGGGAAAAAAATGATATTTTGATTTGCATTTCTGATTATGAGTAAATCTGAACTTAATTTTTAATGTGTTTATTGCCCATTTCTTTTTTTCCTTCCTTCCTTCCTTCCTTTTTCATTTATTTTTGAGATGGAGTCTCACTCTGTTGCCCAGGCTGGAGTACAGTGCTGCAATCTTGACTCACTGCAACCTCAGCCTCCCAGATTCAAGAAGTTCTAGTGCCTCACCCTCCTGAGTAGCTGGGATTACAGGCATGCACCTGATTTTTGTATTTTTAGTAGAGATGGAGTTTCACCATGTTGGCCAGTCTGGTCTCCAACTTCAGACCTCAAGGAATTTGCCACCTCAGCCTCCCCAAGTGCTGGGATTATGGGTGTGAGCCACAAGCCCAGCCAACCATGTCTCTTTTTTTGTATGTGTTCATGTCTTTAGCTCATTTGTTGAAGCCTTCCAAAGTACTCCTAAGAACACCTTATATATTAAATTTTATAATATATATATGTGTGTGTGTGTATGTGTGTGTGTGTATACCTATACACACATGTATATATATGCACATATATACACACATGTATATGTGCACATATATACACATGTATATATGCGCATATATACACACATGTATATACGCGCATATATACACACATGTATATACGCACATATATACACATGTATATATGCACATATATACACATGTATGTATATGTATATACACACATGTATATGTGTGTGTATATATGTACGCACACACACATAACATATATGTGTGTGTATATGTATATATTGAGACGGAGTTTCGCTCTTGTCACCAAGGCTGGAGTGCAGTGGCACAATCTTGGCTGACTGCAACCTCTGCCTCCCGAGTTCAAGCAATTTTCCTGCCTCAGTTCCAGGTAGCTGGGATTACAGATGCTCACTACCATGCCCAGCCAATTTTTGTATTTTTAGTAGAGATGAGGTTTCTCCATGTTGGCCAGCTGGTTTCAAACTCCTGACCTGAGGTGATCCACCTGTCTTGGCCTCCCAAAGTGCTGGGATTACAGGTATGAGCCACCATGCCTGGCCTATTTTATTTTATTTTATTTTGTTTTGTTTTATTTGAGACAGAGTTTCTCTCTTGTTACTGAGGCTGGAATGCAATCTCAACTCACTACAGCCTCAAATATATTCTCTTTAAAGGTGCATGTTAAGTATGATTTTTTTTCCATTTTGTTGTTGTTTAATGCTGTTATTGCCTTACATATTTTTCTAAATACCAATTTTCTTTTTTTGATGCTACCCTGTTTTTTTTTTTTTTTTTTGAGACAGTCTCACTCCATCACCAGGCACCAGGCTGGAGTGCGGTGGCGCAACCTCAGCTCACTGCAACCTCCACCTCCCGGGTTCAAGCAATTCTGCCTGAGACTACCAGCGCGTGCCACCGGTAGTAGAGACAGGGTTTAGTAGAGACAGGGTTTCACTATGTTGGCCAGGATGGTCTCAATCTCTTGACTTCGTGATTTGCCCGCCTCAGCCTCCCAAAGTGCTGGGATAACAGGTGTGAGCCACCGTGCCCGGCCGATGCTGCCTTTGATGTACTGTTCTAAGAAGCTTTTTTATTTCATATTATGAAAATATTCCATTTTCTTCTAGTATTTTTAAGGCTTAATTTTTCATACTTATGTCTCTTATGTCTTTAATCCATCTGGAGTTTATTTTGTTCTAAGGTGCAAGGTAGATGTTTTCCTTGTCTGACACTTTAAATGAGCTGTAAACATAGAATTTCAGACCTGGAAATGATGTTACATTTCTTGTAGTCTACCTTACCTCTTTAGAACTAAAAAAAATGTGAGGCCCAGGAAGTTCCAGTGACTTGCTCCAGTTCAGATAGCTAATTAATGACAGAACCACAGTTAGATTTCTGGTTGCTCTCTTAATTTAATACTTTTGCACCATTCCAAATGGCTTTCTTACAGAGTAGGCCATCTTTAGTCATCTACTTTATGTTCCTTTATATTGCTTAAATCACATTTTATAATCATTGTACACATTTACATATTTGCTTATATGGATTGTATTTCAAAGACTTTTAAGAGAATCTTATTTTTCCCCCCTCAACCCCCACCCCTCACTACCATGGAGATTTCCTACATAATCTACCAAATTGTTAAGGAACTTTGCTTTCTAATGAGATGCCTTCCATAAAGCTTGGTCCCATCTTCCAAATAGAGGTTAGTCACTCTTTCTCTCTCTCTCTTTTTTAGAGGGTATCTCATTAGGTAATTCAGAGGCAGACAGACAATTGCTGGAAGCTGCAAAGGCTGGAGATGTGGAAACTGTAAAAGTAAGATACAATGTTACATTTTTGTTAACTTTGGGTTTTTATCTTGACATTGTTAATGAATCTGTACTGTTTTAATGAAGAGCCTGGTTTATTTGTGTGTGCCTTGTTTTAAAAGGTCAATAATATAATCTAATTTTTTTTTTTTTTTTTTTTTACAAATAAGGAGCATTAGGTAATGAAAGAAAAAGACTTCAGTTTCACACACATCCCAGTAAATACTACATTCACAAATATAAATAAATTCAGGTAATAACAAATGGGTTTTGCTTAAAGAACCTATTAATTTGTACCTTTAACAGAATAAACTATATCAAATTACTGAATATTACTGTTTACATATGACACATAAAACAAGAAGGTGGAAAAACAGTGTATGACTTTTGTCTATAGATTTCTTCTGAGTTTTTCATTTCTTTGTCCCCTCTACCTCTAGGGATTCAGGGTTTAGTACAGTAATAAATACAGCTCTTTCTCAGAGCTGCCAACTTCAGCTCTTGCATGTTTCTCCGACTAGAGCCTTCCCCAGAGTAACCCTTCCTTACTGTTTGACTCTTACTGTAGAAATATGTATGTAAGGCCGGTGCAGTGGCACACAACTATAATCCCAGCACTTTGGTAGGTGGAGGTGGGTGGATCACCTGAGGTTAGGAGTTTGTGACCAGCCTGGCCAACATAGCAAAACCCCATCTCGACTAAAAATACAAAAAAAAAAAAAAAAAAAAAAAGAGAGAGAGAGAGAGAAAGTAGCCAGAAGTGTTGGGGGTGGGGGGACCTATAATCCCAGCTACTTCAGAGGGTGAGGCAGGAGAATTGATTGAACCTGGGAGACAGAGGTTGCAGTGAGCTGAGATTGTGCCATTGCACTCCAGCCTGGGTGACAGAGTGAGACTCCGTCAAAGAAAGAAAAGAAAGAAAAAAGTAAGTATGTAATATCTTACTATCTATCTCAGATATTTCTATTACCTGCAGAAATTGTGTAAACTCAAAGGCCTAACATTTTGAGAGGGTGAGACTGTTTTAGAATTTAATATAAATTAAAATCTAACCATTCTTCATGAATTAAATAATTTTTCAGTAATGCAATAGTGTTATTTTAATTTCCAAAGCTAGTAGGGGAGGCAAGCCTTGTATTTCTTCCACTTCCCCTTTGGAGACTTTTTCAAAACAGTCTTGATCCTGTTTGAGAGGATATTAACAGGTAATAGGTTTTATAGAAAGTTAAATTGGTTCATTTAATTCATGGCAGAAGTAGCTATTTGAAGTAATTTCATTATATTTCTTTGGTGGGGGGTAGGCGGGGAGACAGGGTCTGTTGCTCAGGCTGGAGCACAGTGGTGCTATCTTGGCTCACTGTAACCTTCATCTTCTGGGCTCAAGTGATCCTCCTGACTTCAGCCTCCCAAGTAGCTGGTACTACAGGTGCATGCCACCATGCCCAGCTAATTTTCTTGATTTTTTTCTTGTGGAGACAAAGTCTCACTATGTACCCAGGCTGGTCCCAAACTCCTGGGCTCAAGCAGTCCTCCTACCTCAGCCTCCCAAAGTGCTGGGATTATAAACATGAGCCACCATGCCCTGGCAATTTCATTATGTTTCTGTAGAATGTTCTAAATCCTAAACAGACCCACTCACAAAGTCAATAATTTTAGATTTTCTGAGGAAGAAATACAAATATTGTTCCCTTCTGAACTAGAGCTCTCAGGGAATTTATTCACTCCCGTTTTAAATGAAGAGCTTTCTACAAATTATGTGATCCTCTTCTGTTGCTTTATCTGCGTAGACAGTATAGACATCTCAGATAACTTCAGATTTGTATTTTAAGTTCGTCTCTCACAGAAAAATGCAGCTATCATGCAGTTTTATTATTTGACATGTTTTACTTTGATCCTCATTATTCTCATTTCCTTAAGTAGGAGGCTAATAGGATATTGAAAGGATTTTGTTTCTATTGCTATTGACTTCTGGAAATACAAATCACTTGAGCTAAAAGGTTGTGAACTGATTTTTCAAGAGACATGAAAATTAAGTTTAAGGCAATTAGCTGATTTTTTTGGGGGGGGGTGTGTGGACAGGGAGAGATACAGAATTTTAAATGCTCATTCTCTTACATATATTAAGGAACATAAAACTATATTTAGCAAGCATGTTAAAAACTAAACTTTGTTTTTATAAAGGTAGAAGGAGTCTAGAGGAGGGGATAGATAAAGGAGGGGATAGATGAAGTTGAGGGCAGGAAGTGGACTTAGAGAACACAATAATGCCATTGGATTCAGGAAAACCTGTGATAGGCGTCAGGCTGTCTTCCCTCCCCTCTGCTTTTTAAATCACTTGATGGACATTTATCTCCATCAGCCATTCTACTTCTTACCTACCTCTAGACAGATGGCTTTGTACAAATCACTGGGATAAGAACATCTGCGTATTATCTAATGAACACTTAACTACTGTGCTCAGTTGTGTTTGTTTACTGATAATCCCCCAGACTGGATACTTTATTTGACACCTGCTACTAGAAAACCTGTCTCAGAGTGGGCAAAATTAAACTGAGAGGTAAAGAGTAGAATGTCCTGTGATAACTACCAAACCTAGCAACACCTGGTATACATGTTAAAAAATGAATATGTTAATGGAAATGAATATTTTTTAACATGTGTACCAGGTGTTGCTAGGTTTGGTAGGGACCTGACTTGAGACCCACTGAAATACCATTTCTTGAATGGGACCTTGAATCTATATATCTAGCCAGCTCTTATTTGGGAAGCACAGAAGAGCTTTACCAGTGTAGTGATTAAACCCCTTGAGGTCAATCCACTGATAGCAGGCTCCTTTATTTTATTGAACTTAGGTTATCCCTGCTTTTGGGGGTAGGATAGTAAAAAGGGGGAAGGAGTTTTTACTAATGTGGATATATTCTTTTTGTTTGTTTGTTTGAGATAGAGTTTCACTCTTGTTGCCCGTGCTGGAGTGCAATGGCACGATCTCGGCCCACTGCAGCCTCCATCATTCAGGTTCAAGCGATTCTCCTGCCTCAGCCTCCCAGGTAGCTGGGATTACAGGCACCTGCCACCACACCCAGCTAGTTTTTTGTACTTTCAGTAGAGATGGGATTTCACCATGTTGGCCAAGCTGGTCTTGAACGCCTGACCCTAGGTGATCCTCGGCCTCCAAAAGTGCTGGGATTATAGGCGTGAACCACCTCGCCCAGCCTAATATGGATATATTCTTTTCACTCTTTAATCACTCTGATTTATTATCTGTGTTCCTTTTCTTCCCCAAACTTTAATGATTTTCATAACTACACTTCCTCATCTGAACCAAAGAACACAGAAAATAGACTGTTTTCTTAATTCTCCCCAGGGCTGTATATAACCATCAGCATTCTTTTTTTTTTTTTTTTTTTTTTTTTTTTTTTTTTTAAGACAGTCTTTCACTGCAATGGTACAATCTTGGCTCGGTGCAGCCTCCTCTGTCTCCTAGGTTCAAGCAGTTCTCCTGTCTCAGTCTCAGTCTCCCAAGTAGTTGAGACTGCCCATTTTAGCCAGGCTGGTCTCAAACTCCTGACCTCAAGTGATGAGCCTGCCTTAGCCTCCCAAAGTGCTGTGATTACAGGCGTGAGCCACCACACCCAGCCTAACCATCAGCATTCTATTAGTTATTTCATTCCATATAGTGTGGTAGGGTTCTTGAACCACCAGCATCAGCATCACCCAATAATTTGTTAGAAGTGAAGATTTTTAGGCTCTATCACAGTTATACTGAAAATTTGAGGGTTGGAACCAATGCACATTAAAGTTTGAGAACCACTGCTCTAAAGGAATACTTTTCAAACTTTAATGTGTTTACATATTATCTAGTGATCTTGTTCAAGTGCAAATTCTGACTCAGTGGATAGAAACCTGAGATTCTGAATTCTTAATAAGCCCCTCGGTAATGCTGATACTACAGTAATCTCATGTACCCCGTGTGTATTTGCCACAAAATGAAAGTTACACTTGCTGATGATTGGCACTTAGTTTACATGTACACATATAGTAGTGGTAATGATAAAATGTACCCTTTAGCTTTAGGAAAAGTAGAATATAAAGGCATACGTGAGGCTAGGCACAGTGGCTCACACCTGTAATCCTAACATTTGGAAGGCCAAGGTGGGAGGATCCCTTGAGGTCAGGAGTTCAAGACTAGCCTGGCCAACATGGTGAAACCCCATCTCTACTAAAAATACAAAAATCAGCTGGGTGTGGTGGCACGCACCTGTAGTCCCCACTACTCAGGAGGCTGAGGCAGAAAAAATTGCTTGAACCCAGTAGGTGGAGGTTATGGTGAGCTGAGATTGTGCCACTGCGCCCCAGCCTAGGCAAGAGAGTGAAACTGCATCTCAAACACAAAAGGCATAGATGAGAGGACCAGAGGGATTCCCAGTAAATGATATGATGAAATAAGACTACTAAAGAGACAAGAAAATAAGTCAGACATTTTGAAAATTCCTGGAATATGTAGATATAGTATCATATATGTTTTCTCCTACAGAAACTGTGTACTGTTCAGAGTGTCAACTGCAGAGACATTGAAGGGCGTCAGTCTACACCACTTCATTTTGCAGCTGGGTATAACAGAGTGTCCGTGGTGGAATATCTGCTACAGCACGGAGCTGATGTGCATGCTAAAGATAAAGGGTAAATACTAATGATTGTCACGGACTCTCTTCCTTACTTTTACCTGACGTTTTTAGGAAAACCTGGAAATATGTTATGTGTTATTTTTCAAGGAAATCTGTTTCCTAACATTGGCTTAAGTATTAAATAGAGCTTCTTAATTTCAATTAAGATATTATATGGTTAACATTCATATAAAGACTTCACTGGCATAATGCATGGGAATTTTATAATGGCCAAGGAGATTACAGCATTAGTGTGATAGTGATTTTTAATGTAGTAAACTTTTCAGTTTTCATGGAGGATTTTTGAATTCTTCCAGTTTATCTTGAAGTATTTTTTACTAAAAATAAACAATTTTAGATGTTGCGTATATGGATGGTTATAGTCTCTACATTTAAAACATTTTTTAAATGTTCTCCACTGACTCACCAAAAAAGAACTTATTTCTGCCTTAAATAGATTTAGGTTTTACAAAGTATAATCAGTATAATGTCTCAGGTAGTTCAAGAATTATCTTTCATCAGTTATATGCAATTATTTAAATTAAAATGTTCTTCTGGGGCATTATTGTTCATTTATTACTTTTCAGAGGCCTTGTACCTTTGCACAATGCATGTTCTTATGGACATTATGAAGTTGCAGAACTTCTTGTTAAACATGGAGCAGTGGTTAATGTAGCTGATTTATGGAAATTTACACCTTTACATGAAGCAGCAGCAAAAGGAAAATATGAAATTTGCAAACTTCTGCTCCAGGTATATTTAATTACTTACTATAAATAGTATGAATTACATAGAATATGTTTATGATTTTTTAAATAATACTAGTATACACTTAAACTATTAAGCAATGGGAAGGAATGTTATCTAATTCAGTACCTAGATTTTAGAATAAATGTCATAAACATTATTTTATATTTTAATCCACAAGTATGTTTACCAGCACCTAGAGTTATTTTTGTCTACAGCCAACTAATATGTGATAGTTCTGTTACTATTTTTATTTTTCCTCTTTAGTACTTTAACCTAAAACTATTTGATGAAGTATGTACTTAAAAGGCAGATTTATTTAGCATTGATAAAATGGATGATACTGGTTCAATACAGATACCAGTGGATATTTTACAATAGCAAGAATACAGAGATTTATACTTTATTTAAATGTTCATGAAAAGTAAAAATGGTATAACATGAAAGTTAATTTTTAAAGAAATATTACTTTATTTTGAATGTAGTTTAAAATTTTAACATTGATGCATTAGAGAAACGAAGTAATATTTAACTGCCTGTGTATTCTTTTTATTGTAATTCTGTGTATAAAGTAAACATTAATAGCAATGTTAACCTTTAAGGTAGAGTCTCAATATAAATTTAGTTTTTCTTTGGTATAGTTACATTGACTATTTTCTCATCGACCAAAGGTACATTTAAGCCATTTCCTCCTTTTTTTCTGTTTTTCACGTGCCTAGCATGGTGCAGACCCTACAAAGAAAAACAGGGATGGAAATACTCCTTTGGATCTTGTTAAAGATGGAGATACAGATATTCAAGATCTGCTTAGGGGAGATGCAGCTTTGCTAGATGCTGCCAAGAAGGGATGTTTAGCCAGAGTGAAGAAGTTGTCTTCACCTGATAATGTAAACTGCCGTGATACCCAAGGCCGACATTCAACACCTTTACATTTAGCAGGTAAGTGAAGGGAGTTTCACAGATTTAGGCTGGTAACACCTGAGATTCATTTTACCCAGGTAAAATATTTCCTGTTACTAAACTTGAAAAATTCAAATTAGGCCAAATATGGTAGCTCATATCTGTAATCTCAATACTTTATGAGGCCAAGGCAGGAGGATTGCTTGAGCCCAGGAGTTTGAGGGCAACACATGGCAAAATGCCATCTCTACTAAAAATAAATATAAAAATTAGCCAGGAGTGGTGGTGCAAACCTGTAGTCCCAGCTGTTCAGGAGGCTGATGTGGGAAGATTGAGCCCAGGAGGTCACTGCAGTGAGCCTTGATTGTGCCACTATACTCCAGCCTGGGCAACAAAACGAAACCCTGTCTCAAAAAATAAATACAATTAAAATCAAATATCTTCTAATGCCACCATTACACCCTTTAGTATGTTTGTACAAGACAATCATACTTGAAGCTATTAGCTGAGTTCCAGTTCACTTTATTATGAGTATGTTACATTCAGTAAGAACAATTGAAGTAGGCTCTGCCAGACTCCATGTGCTTTGTGATCATTATTCCAGATCATCATTTTATTTGTATCATCTTTGGTAAACAAGTTTTGAAAAATATGCCTACTTGAGCCAGCCTTCCTTATGGAAAGCTAAAGCTTTCTATTCTTCCTGATGATAGCTGCTAAGCACAAGCAGGAAAATAAAATAAAATTTAAATTCTCAGAAGTTACATAAACCTCTCACCCAAGTTATTTGTTGTTTTGGTTTGCAAGAGTTCCTGTAACAAAATACCATGGGGTGGCTACAACAGAAATTTGTTTTCTCACAGTTCTGGAGGGTAGGAGTCCAAGTTCAAGGTGTTGGCAGGGTTGGTCTCTTCTGAAGCCCCCTCTTGGCTTAAAGATGTCTACCTTCTCACTGTGTCCTTCCTGGAACTTGGGCCTCTTTCTATACGTTCTAGTCTTCTCTATTTTTAAGGAAACCAGTCAGATTATATTTAAGCCCACCCAAATTTTAGCTCTTTAGGAAGGCGCTGTCTCCAAATACAGTCACATTCTAAGGTACTGGGGTTAGGGCTTCAACATAAGAATTTGGGGGTGGGGGACAATTCATTTAAAACATTTGTTGTAAGTTTTCACTCATAAAACTAGCACAGTGTACCTTTGTTTTTAGCACAGATATACAATATATTATGGTTTCAGTACAGCTTTTTCAGCTGCATTACAGATGTTAGGGAATAAACCATTAAAATCACTGAGCTATAGCTAATACCTCAGTGAAGTTCCATCATAGGCCCAGTGGACTCATACAGGTTTATCTAAATATACATGGTTTAAAAAGAAAGAAAAAATCATGCGAATATTTCCGCTACTTTGTGTAACGTGGGAGTTGGAAATCTATTCCGTTCATTTCAGTCTTGTATTATAATTTGGTGTTATATATGATTCTTACCTTTAAATTCTCACTCCATGTAAGTTGAAACGTCACTGTCCAAGAGATCCAATTACTCTATATGTCTTTCAAGTATTCTGGAAGTGATAAGCCACAAATGCTAACATGGTGAGAAAAAGCTTTACTTCCACTGGCTATCAGGAGTTTCTAGTCCATGCAAGACAAAATATGACTTGACCTCTAATTGGAAATTGTGCTGTGCATATTTATGTTAGCTTTTATTTTTCTTGTAGCTTATCTAGAACTCTTAACATTAATATCTGTGTCCAGGTTGTCTTTTTAAGTCAAATAACTTGCACAAAATATTTCTGTCCACTTTTGCAGTGTTAAATACCATCCCTTGAGACCTAGAAAGACTTTTAGATTAGTGTAATATTTTATGGTGGTTTTATAGTTTTATTCTTTTTTACCGGATCTTTTAAAATTCTTTTGCTTTAAATCCTTTAGCAAAAGAATAAAACTACAATAGAAATAAGTCTTATTTGATGGCTAAAGCCATGGTAGAGTACATACGTTGGGTAGAACGCATAAGTTCCTTTACCAGACTTGCAGAGGTGTGTACCTCTGAGCTCTCTCTAGCAAAAAAGCATGTTCTTGTGGCCTTCTGGGGAAGAGGGCTCTGAGACCCAGTCTGGTTTGACTTGTATGTGATTGCAGACCTTTGACTTGCAGCACTTGAGACCTGTGTACCTGAGTTCAAGAAGTTGTATGTAACAACCATGAAGGCCGAGACTTTGGTAGGAAGGTTTTAATAGGAAAAATACAAACAAATCAGTTATTCTAATTTTGGGGACCTACAAAACTAATAGATAATATGATAAGCTTCCAACTTGAGGCCGGGGGAAATGTTTTCTAGAAGGCAAATTGTTAATAGAGTCCAATGAGGTATTTCAGATTTATACAAAATACCTTTTTTTTTTATCTCTTCAGTAATGTCTGTGCCTTATAAATATGTATAGATATAGATATATACACATATATGTGACTTTTTTATGTAACTAGTAGATGTATTATGACATAGTACTAAAAAAAGAAAAAACAAGTAAAATAATTTTACTCCTTTTCTAAATTAGCTGGTTATAATAATTTAGAAGTTGCAGAGTATTTGTTACAACATGGAGCTGATGTAAATGCCCAAGACAAAGGAGGACTTATTCCTTTACATAATGCAGCATCTTATGGGGTAAGTTCTTCTGTGTTACCTTTAAAAAATTGTGGAATTTTAAAGTGAAAGTCAGTATTGCAGTTCAAATGGAATTTAGTTTGATGTTCTCATTTTACAGAGAAGTAAATGGGAGAGTTAAAGAAGTTAAATTTTAACTTCCAAATTTCAGTTCTGAATCTGTTGTAAGCTTGCTGTGTGATACGCAGTGTGTTGTTGTTTTATTATCTTTCTTAACACCTGTCTCTTATTTTCAGTGAGATGTTGGTGATTGTATTTATTTGTTGGTGCCCAGAAAATCCACTGGGGCACCAATGGGGTTGATGAAATCTGTATAGATTCAGATGCATTGTTCCTGACTTATCATAGTCCTGAATGTTACATTCAAAATTATACATAGTTCTTCAATGGTATAGTTTGAATAATTGAGGAAGATTGCTGCTTTTTAAATTGATGTTTAGTAGTTACAATATTGAATAAATTAGAAATTATTAAAGTCATTAGTTTAAATTCCTGCTATATAGAATTCTTAACTCTTTTCTGGATAGTTCCTCAAGTTACTGAAATGTCCACTGTAATTTTTAATCAGCTACCCATAAGTTGTGATGTTGGGGAGAAAGAGTTTTTCTTTTCCTTTCCAAAGTTTGAAAATGTGGAAATAGGTACATAGCTAGTTTTTTCTTAAGAAGTAAAGTGTGACAAAATAATATTTCAGACTGTGACAGGTATTTTCTTTTACAGCATGTAGATGTAGCAGCTCTACTTATAAAGTATAATGCATGTGTCAATGCCACGGACAAATGGGCTTTCACACCTTTGCACGAAGCAGCCCAAAAGGGACGAACACAGCTTTGTGCTTTGTTGCTAGCCCATGGAGCTGATCCTACTCTTAAAAATCAGGAAGGACAAACACCTTTAGATTTAGTTTCAGTAAGTGGTGGGCTCTTTGAAAAAAATCTCAATGCTTTTCTGACTTTTGTTGTTGTTGTTTTTCCTCACGGGATTGTTATAATTTGTGACTTTTTAAAATTCACTTGAAATGTTATTATAAAATGTCTTTATAGTGAATGTGAATGGCAAAATCTGGTTTTTAGCCCAATTTTAATGCAACACTTCTTTAGTATTAAAATATAATAGAATTAAGGCAGTTGTGGTGGCTCATGCCTATAATCCCAGCACTTTGGGAGGCCGAGGCAGGCAGATCACCTGAGGTCAGGAGTTCGAGACTAGCCTGACCAACATGGTGAAACTCCGTCTCTACTAAAAATACAAAAATTAACCAGGTGTGGTGGCACACGCCTATAATCCCAGTTACTAGGAGGCTGAGGCAGGAGAATCACTTGAACCTGGGAGGCAGAGGTTTCAGTGAGCTGAGTTTGTGCCATTGCACTCCAGCCTGGGTGACAAGAGCGAGACTTGGTCTCAAAAAAAAAAGTATATATATATATGTGTGTATATATATGTATATATATAAAATAGAATTATAGAGTAATTATTTTTCTGTAGAATAGAATGATCAATACTTGTATACCAAGTACTTTGGAAATAGGAAAAATAAGTACATGATATAACTATTTATGTTAGTTAGGAAACTAAACAGGCCCAGGCCCTCAGAGAATACTGTTACTTACAGTGCAGCACAAGATGGTAGAGACTATGGGTCTTACACACAGCCCTAACTGGGAACATTGCCCCCAGGGTGCAGCCACAAAGCTGCAAAGCACCTGCTGCCAGTAGAGATTCCTTTTCCTCCCACATTGCCTCATCCCAGAGTTCTTATTGCTCACCCTACCTTAACTGTTCATGAAACAAGCATATTACCCACTTTCCTGTGAAGGTCCTGTGTTCCCTTCCACTCCTCCAGAGCATGGAGCAGGTTTAGGAGCTCCCACTGAACCTTCCACCTCTGCTTTGGGCACTAAAGCAGATGCCTCTCTCTGCCTGTACCACTGAGGACATTGACTACCACTGAGGACACAGTGGAAGGAAAGGAAGAAGGAATTCTTTTTGAGATGGGAAGGAAGGGGAATAATTTCTGCAGACTGCTTTCTACTGAGAGAGATTCCATTGTTAACAAGTTACAGTAAGAAACTGATGTAGTTCAGCTCCACTGGAGCTTCAGTAGATTTTTCTCAGCCCCTAACAACCGGCCATATTTGCAACATTATCTCTTCAGGGAAATGTCTTTCTAGTTCCAAACTACCTTAAAAGTGAACATTTGGAATTCATTCCACCCATATGTTCATCAGCCAGATATAATTAAGTGACAGTGAAGCAAAATGCTCTAGAGAACATACAAAGGCTTTAGAGTCAGACAGACCAGGCCTAGAATTCCAGCTCCACCACTTAAATTGTACAGTCTTACGAATTGCCTAACCTCTAAACTTAGTTACCTCATCTGTAAATCAGGGTAAAATGTATCTGGTTAATGTGAGAATTAAACGGGGTAATTTACTTAATGTCTTTGGCATGGTATCAGGTGTATAAAAAGCACTCAGTAAATTATACTATTATTATAAACAAATGTCATATATAAACTGAGTGCCATGGGACTGCACAGACTGGGGGAAGAGAAAGGTGATGACTGGAATAGGCAGAACAAATGACTATGAAACAAGTACTGATTTATTCCTTGCTGAATATTAGTTGAACATTATGAAAGAATAGTATATATTACTAATTAAACAAATTAATGTACCAGTAAATGTGGGGACTTTTTTCCATTCTAGCAGGTTTTTTTGTTTTTTGAGACAGAGTCTTGCTCTGTCACCCAGGCTGGAGTGCAGTGGCCACGATCTTGGCTCACTCCAAGCTCCACCTCCCAGGTTCAAATGATTCTCCTGCCTCAGCCTCCCAAGTAGCTGGAATTACAGTCATGTGCCACCACACCTGGCTAATAATTTTTGTATTTTTAGTAGAGACAGAGTTTCACCATGTTGGCCAGGCTGGTCCTGACCTCTAGCGATCCACCCGCCTCGGCCTCCCAAAGCGCTGGGATTACAGGCATAAGCCACTACACCCGGCCCCGTTCTAGCAGATTTGATTAAAAGGATTATCTTTCCTACCCACCTCCTCTCCAAAAAGCTTTCAATTTTGAGGAACAAATATATTGCTGGGTATTTTTCGGGAAATGCAAACGATTCTGTTTGCTAAAGTTCCATGTAGGTTGAGTTAGTTCAGAATAACCACAATAGGATTAAAAGCTCTTACCTTTTAAATTTGGTATTTCTGTAATTTATTGTGTTTCTCGGTCATAATATCAGAATTATTGCCACATTTAAGTTATATTTTGATTATATGTGTATTGGAAGAGATGTTCTCAATTATGTCTTATATTTTAATAACAGTTTAGCTGGATACAGATTGAATATCCCTTATCGGAAATGCTTAGGACCAGATATGTTTCGGCTTTTGGATTCCTTTTTCAGATTTTGAAATACTTGCATTATGTTTACTATTGAGCATCCCTGATCCCAAAATCTGAAATCCAAGGTGCTACAATGAACACTTCCTTTGAGCTTTACATCAACATTTTAAAAAATTCAGACTTGGGATGTTTGACCTGTATTAACCTATTTGCTTCACTTTTTAAAATGAATAATCCTTCATTGTGATGATCCTGGCACAAATTGCTAGGTTTCATCATATTTTTAAGTATATTTTATTAGGTATAATAGTAATTTAAAACTTGCTTATGGCAGATTTTGTCTCTGGCACATACCCTAGGCAGATGATGTCAGCGCTCTTCTGACAGCAGCCATGCCCCCTTCTGTTCTGCCTTCTTGTTACAAGCCTCAAGTGCTCAATGGTGTAAGAAGCCCAGGAGCCACTGCAGATGCTCTCTCATCAGGTCCACCTAGCCCATCAAGCCTTTCTGCAGCCAGCAGTCTTGACAACTTATCTGGGAGTTTTTCAGAACTGTCTTCAGTAGTTAGTTCAAGTGGAACAGAGGGTGCTTCCAGTTTGGAGAAAAAGGAGGGTGAGACATTCTGCAAAAATAACTTTCTCATTGGTATTGTAGCCCATATTTGTCATTTGGAATGCTAAAAAGTCATTTTTAACTTTAAATACAACTATTAGTATCAAATTAGTTAACATAGCCTTAAAAAGGTTTATCCTTATATTGCTTTATTTTTTTTCTTTTTTTTTCTTTTTGGAGACAGAATTTTCCTTTTGTCACCCACGCTGGCATGCAGTGGTGTGATCTTGGCTCACTGCAACCTCTGCCTCAAGGGTTCAAGTGATTCTCCTGCCTCAGTCTCCCGAGTAGCTGGGATTATAGGCATCCACCACCACGCCCGGGTAATTTTTGTATTTTTAGTAGAAATAGGGTTTCACCATGTTGGCCAGGCCAGTTTCAAACTCTTGACCTCAGGTGATCCACCCACCTCGGTCTCCCAAAGTGCTGGGATTACAGGCATGAGCCACCACTCCCAGCCCTTAACCTACTCTTTGGATGTAAACCTTTTCTGTTAAAATTCATTTCACCTTATGCAACAATGTGGAGTACTGAGACTGCCCCATTGATTAACTGTTTTTTCTAATGTTGAAATTGTATAGCTTTTTCTTGTTCAGTATTATATCCTAAGCGGCTATAAATATTTTGCTTCATCTTTATTTTCTTCATATATAGTAATAAGACATTATTGTTATAGTGATGAAATACATTATTCTGGTGTGAAATTCCATTTGTTTTGGATTTTTTTTATCTCCCAGTTCCAGGAGTAGATTTTAGCATAACTCAATTTGTAAGGAATCTTGGACTTGAGCACCTAATGGATATATTTGAGAGAGAACAGGTGAGTAGATGAATCATATTGTTGTGTTTAGTGTTTTATGGAAGCTCAAGGAAAATTTGGAACAAACTTGAAATGAGCTGAACCATGTAAGCTATTGGGGGAGAATGTTTTTTAAGAGATGACATCAGTCAGCCTTCTAATTTGGCTCGATCTTGAAACTTTCATTTAGCTTATTACCACACAATTGACTTGTGTAGTAATGGTAAAATAGCTTTCTTGAATGGGAAGTTTAGCTTATTCAGTTATTGAAGTAAGTTATCCTTGAGCTGTCTCTATTCAGTTCTCTCTCTTAAGCCTGACACTTTTCTAGCTGCTATGGGAATGTATATGAATATGCCAGCCATATCTGGGCTTTTCTAAGCAGTCTTAGTTTAAACTACTCTGACAGAATACATTTACTGATTTTTGTGGTTTTTCAGAAAACAGTGTTATTGTAGATTTGCACCCTAAGGAACTTTCAGTGTAGTTAGGGAACTAGAATAAGAACATATGAAAATTCAAGCTTTAGCATAGATTTTAGAAATTTGAAGAAGGAAGAGATTACTGTGAGCTGGACTCTTCATAGAAAGCTTCATGGAACATGTGTAAATAAAACAGGATTTTAAAGAATGGCTTCAATTTCATGAAACCATAATGTATTACTGTATTAAAGGTAAAAGGGTTACTTTGAACAGTGATGCAGAAGTACCACTTGGCATAGTCCAGACTTGGAAGGAACCATTGAAAGACATTCTATAAATAGGGTTGGATGTAGAGTGATGGTAGAAAAGTCTTATGGAAAAGATAAAATACCTGAATGTGGTTAATTTGAAAGTGCATTTTTGTTTTGCATTTTAGTTCTGCTCAGGTTCTTATGCTAAATGGAAATAACGTTTTTCGAAATGTTTAAAATAACCTGGAGTAAATGTATGAATCTTACGTATTATGAGAGCACCAGTATATGACTGTTCAGCACATAAGCATTCTAAATAGTTTCCTCCTCTTGTGTAAGATCACTTTGGATGTATTAGTTGAGATGGGGCACAAAGAGCTGAAGGAGATTGGAATCAATGCTTATGGACATAGACACAAACTAATTAAAGGAGTTGAGAGACTTATCTCCGGACAACAAGGTATTTTATTTTAATAATTGCTGTTGTCAATTTAACAGTTTGCATAAAGGCAACCCTTGGTGTACTAAATTACAATTTAAAAATATGTATGAGAGAATCTGTTTAATAGGAAGAATACTAATTTAGGATTCAGGAAACTGGGATTAAGTTTTAGCTCTGCTACTAACTTAAACTTACTGAGCTGCTGCTGCTAAGATGTGAACCTAAGTAAAATTTCTGGATCATTCAGAAATTTGGGAATTGTTTTAGCTCCTGAAAATAAGGAAGTTAGTTGGGATTATTTTCTGACATTATTCTAGCTCTAAAATTTTATAATTGTAAAGATCTGAAACTTAAGTATCTCATGTCTTATGGTAATATAATAGATAATGACTAAGTGTTCAGGCTAACCCTTAAAATACTGTAACAGACCTCTATACATAGATAAAATTTTAAGCATTTGGGATGAAAATACTGGAAAATACTGAAAAACAGTAATGTTGCAACTGAGGAAATTAAACAAAACAAAGTTGAATAATATTTTTATTTCTCCTTAATGTTGGCACGTAAGGAAAATGCAAATTGCATTTATTCAGCAGATGTTAACATTTTATCTGTACCAGGTATGGGTATAAAAAGGTAAATTAAGTGTCAAAACCACATTTAACTTTATTGTTAAACTGGGAGTGATGTATCCTGGGGTCAAAAATATCCAATAATTGAATGTCCTAGCTGTACAGCTGGGGTTAAAGAGAAACCTCCATTAGTAAAAATGAAGGTATTTTTGGGAAAGAATGTATGCCAGCCAGGATGGGGTCCACCTCTGAAGAAGTAAGAGCACTTCTAAAAATGTAGGTGATTCAAGCTAAGGAATACTTTCAACTGGTATTATAGAATAAGCTTAATTAAAAGTAGATGTATTTCACTGCCTGATAGGGACTAGGACAAGATATTTAAAGTGCAATATAGTCTTGGCTTTTTCTAGTATAGAGGACAAATTTTTATAAGATAAAGAGGAGGAAAAATCCATGGCTTCCGGGAATATTAACATACAATATAATTAGCACTAAAAATGAGGAACTAGAACCCTCAGTTGTAGACCATCATTGTGACTCTACTGGAATAATACTGATCTGGTATGATAAGATTATGATGGAGTATTAGGATAACAAGAGTCTTTTGGGAAAGAGGCAGGGTAGAAAAGAAAAGTTGGCAGTATTTGTATATTAAACATATCTTAGGTATTAGGGCTGTTCTGAAAAGCTGAAAGACTCAATAACAGAAATAGATACATTGCCTCCAAATGGCAGAGGTACTTTCATGCCACCTCTGGTCCTGTAGTCACTCTGATACATCCAGCTACATTTGGATAGGAACATTCATTCCTATATGAAGGAGAAACGTCATGAGACAAAATGTCATGTCTGATCTGGCATATCAGGATCACTTTCCTACATAAAGTTACCACCTTCCATATGTTCATTCAAAGCCTGGATTCTTTTTTTTTTTTTTCCCCAACCTGATGTTAGTCAACCAACAGGGATTCCATACTTCTACCTAATTTACAAAGTGGAACTGGTAGCTGCCTGTGATGATCTTCTAACAATCTGTCATGCTGACTTAACAGCTTTACCTTTTATTCAGTGCATCAAGTCAATAGATGACTAGTACCATACTGATCTTTCAGTATTGATAAACATCTTCTTGCATATGTTGCAGATGCCTTAGTCAAGCATTTGTCACAGTCTTTTTTCTGTAAAATACTCTCCATATGCCCTTCATAATCCTTAAAGATATTGCAGTTCGGCCACTGTGTTTATTAACATTGCATGTTGGTAGTAGTCCTGTTCTTCAGACTATAGCTTAGAACCACAATAGTGCTCTTCAGCTCCAGAGACAAACTTCATGCACTGACCCAGCAGTAAAGGATTTGGCCCCTACACAGGAAAACAGCGGTGTTGGAGATATTGTTGTAGAGATTAAAGGAGAAAGTTGTGCTACAAATATATCAAAGGAATTAGAAAATTCTGTTTAAAATCCAATTTTAAAAGCTTCTGTACAAGTAAAGATACAAAAATATATATGATTATCTTGGTCATTGACATTTGGAAAACATCACAAATTCATTGCTGAGGTAAACAATCTGTTATGGGACAGAGTATACATTCAATAGGTGGTAAACTATGGATTTCTCATTCTAGGGTGATTTAAAATTACCTGAGACTCTGCAAGTTTCTGTCATAATTCTTCCTCATATTTACAAAGAAGAAAGATAAATGTTGAAAGGCCTGTGTAGTTAGCAAAGGAAGTAATTTGAAGAAGAAAATGTGTTACAAACTCATTAAGAATAGGAGATAAAGAGAAAGATTTTCCGAAATATTTCCACAGGGTCAAAATGTGGTGTAATGGTTTTGATCCCAAAACAAAAAAAAAGAACACTAGTGGGGAAAACTGGTGGAAAAAAAAAAAAAATGACTTCTATAATTTAATCAGTTTTGACAAATGTGCTATGGTTATAAAATGGTAACATTAGGGGGAAAGTGGGTGAAGCGTACATAGGAACTCTGTACTTTCAGCCTTTCTAAATAGCTAAATTATCATAGTATAAAATGTTTTTTAAAATTGGTAGTAAGCATCAGAAAAATTAGGTGGTTATTTTTGGTTTTGATGTTCATTGTTTTTTGGCAATTTATTTTTCTACCTTCAAATTTTGTTTCATAGGTCTTAACCCATATTTAACTTTGAACACCTGTGGTAGTGGAACAATTCTCATAGATCTGTCTCTTGATGATAAAGAGTTTCAGTCTGTGGAGGAAGAGGTATGTTCATATACCTTCAATAGTAGGCTGGCTTTGTATGTTTAGTTCACCTTGTATCCTCTGGCTTCTTTTTCTTCCTTTAGTTTGCATTATATAATTTTGACCTATAAATAATTGTTTTCTAATAACTGCCTCTAGAACATATTACTCATGAATTTATAAAACTCATGTTCTTCTTTTTTGTTGTTTTTGTTTTTGTTTTGTATTTTTAGTAGAGACGGGGTTTTGCCATGTTGCCCAGGCTGGTCTTGAACTGCTGAGCTCACGCAGTCTGCCTGCTTCAGCCTCCTAAAGTGGGCCACCATCCCCAGCCCTCATATTCTTTGAATAACAAAAATGTTCAAACCCGTTTCGTATTCTCAAAAATAGGGTCAGATGAGTCAAGAACCATGTTCACCAAATCAGAAAATACACAAATGCTAATGCACATATATTTCAAACCATTTTTCCATCAGATGCAAAGTACAGTTCGAGAGCACAGAGATGGAGGTCATGCAGGTGGAATCTTCAATAGATACAATATTCTCAAGGTAATAAATTAGTGAAAATAAAGTTTTCTGAGACCATAGTTTTCAAAGCCTGAAGCCATGAGTAACTTTCATAAGAGTATAATCTATCTAGCCTAGTAAGTCCTTGACTCATGATCAGAGACTGTTTTGGGGAAGAATTTAACCCTTGGAAGGTTAATATTCTCCAAATCCCTCTACTATTTTTAATAATGGATAATAATTCTTGCTGAACATATTCAAGTTTATGGGTTATGCTTTATCTTGGGGTAATGATAAATGCTATAGGTTCAAGACTTTATATAAAGTACTCTATTATAACAAAGCTAAATTTTTCTGTGGCAGATACCATCTTTATAGCCATAGAATGGTTATTTTTTTATACTGATTGACTACTCCAGGTTTCTCAAAGTCCCCAGATATATCACCCTTTTATAAACTTTAATAATACCCTCTCTTCATCTTTTGGAGAAAAAAAAAAAAAAACAGTCTTTTAGAAATGTTTTGAGTCATTTAATGACCATTCTATCTTACTGATTTTAGTTACTCTTCTTAGGAACTTTTGTAACATTATGTTTTTCTAGAACTACAGCAATCAAAACTTCACACCATACTTAATGAATAATGAATTTGTATTAACTACATTGATGCAGTATATTCTTAATAACTGTAAAAATGAGACATAAGGTTAGAATTAAAATGTGGCAAATGCCTTTCTGATACACAGATGTTAAACTCTGAACGGCATAAAATCAGCTGTAATGTATTACTGTTTCATAACATACTATGAGTATAATATTTAATCAGACAAATGCATGCCTATTCAGGTACATTTCAGTCAAGTCCACTTTGACTACAAGCATTAACAATATGTGTGAAGTTTTGTTAAGAGTGAGAGCAGGAGAGAGGTTGTGTGTTTGATTTCTAAAGTAGTTGGATTTGAGAAAGATACACTTTTCTTCTTGTAATAAAGATATTTTCATGTAATGTTTAATGAAAAATTTTTCAGTGATGAAACAGGGTTTCTTTGTTTCTTTTTAATGTGTAAATGAGATTTATTTATGACAGTTATGGTCCTTAACTACGTCTGTGGCAATATTTTGCATTGAGTCAAGAATAAAACCATCAGCTCCTAGGTGTGCTCTAGGGACCAGCAGGGGGCTGTAGCACCTTTAAACACAGCTAAAAAACAACACTAGGATTGTGAATTTTGTTCCTAGAAATATTCATAATGAGACAAGCATCTACCTTAAAATCTTCTCCAGACAAAAATTTTCAGAATTAGAGGGTCGAGGGAGTAATTGTGTGTGTGTGTGTGTGTTGTGGGTGGGGGGAGGACACTATTTCAAATATTCTTAATTTAAAACAGATTAATATGGTACTCTGAGACAGTTACATTGGGAGAAAAGAATACTCTTTCTAGTACTTTGTACAGAAAAAAGCTTGGCATGTCTGATTTGGAGGTGTTTTTGTAATAGTTTTAAGTTAATGAGAATGGAAGTATTTTAATAAGTTAACAGTATTCTTGACCTTCACATATAGCCTTTTTTTCTTTGAATTTTTTAATCTCCAAAATGTAGCTATACTTCTAACTTAATGGTTGGGACAAGGTATTTTTAGTTTATTAACACATTTTATATTTCAGAGAAAAGTTTTGCCTACCTTCTAGCTAAAAGTATGACCTATCTTTGGTTTAGTTGAAGAAGTCAGTAAGTAATTATAAAGACATAAAGGTTTGATTTTACTGGCTTATTTTGTGTAGATTCAGAAGGTTTGTAACAAGAAACTATGGGAAAGATATACTCACAGGAGAAAAGAAGTTTCTGAAGAAAACCACAACCATGCCAATGAACGAATGCTATTTCATGGTAAGAGTCCTCTCCCCAAACTCTACCACTGTCCTCCACATTAGGATAGTTTTTTTGGTTTGGATGTGAAATAATAATAAGCCTGTATATTCTTTATGTCATTCTTTTAAAATAAACCTAGTATTTCTGTAAATTTTACGTTTATATTCATATTTTCAACTTCTTTTGAATTTGTATATTTTATAATGGATTGTTTTTAAATAAGATTACCACGGTAAAGAATAGAGAGAAATGGGAGTGTTGACTGTCTTTTCCTTTTTTCTTTAAATAGTAAATTTTGCTTATGGTCACTCTAAGAAATTTTGTGTTTTAACTAATTGATTGAATTAAAAATAAAATAAGACCTGGGAATCACCTCAAAAGAAGGTATACATCCTATTCTGATTTTTATTCTAAGTATCAAACCCATACAATGTGAAAAGAGCCGTTGTTATTGAACCTGTAGAAGTTTCTGATAACTATAGAATTGAATTGAAAGCACAATTACTTATTATTCTTGGATTTTTGTGGTTTTTTGTATTATAAGCTGACAGCTGTTGATTAGTCCTTCAGATTTTAGCGGAGTTAAATATATTAATGTAGTATTTATCAGGCCTTCAGACACATAACCCATAGTAGTTCTAGCCTGTTTCTTCACTTGTTCTTGATTGCAGAAAAATGTTAGAGACCTGCAAAGTTCTCTAAAACACAAGAAACTTCATAATACCCTCAGAGAATGGTAGTAACAGAATGGATTCATGTGCAGTATCTAAATAGCCCTCCTTATTCCAAAACCCTAAATAATCATCAGGCTAATCTCTTGACCCAGAGCATAATATTTGTCTATTAACTTGATGGTTATAATGTGGTTTTTCTAATTTGTAATATAAATAATTTTGGTTTTCTCAAGTTAACTCAAAAAGTGATTCTATTCATCTGTATTTCTGTAAAGTAGAATTCAGTGTATTTTCCTGTATCTCTGTGGGCAGGGAATGTGATCTTGATAAATGAATTAGCTGTGGGTTTTTTACTTTTACCGTCTCCCACTCTACTCCACTCCCAAGGAAAGAGGAAAAAGAAGTCAATGTGCAAGGAGTAAGAGAAAGTACCACATTTGCAGATAGAACCTTGTAAAGCAGTTGACGAAAGGCAGAAGTGGAAGGATAGAAGACAGAGAAGAGGTATAAGAAAGAGAATAAGAATGTGAAAGTTGGGCCAGGTGCAGTGGCTCAAACCTGTAATCCCAGCACTTTGGGAGGCTGAGTTGGGTGGATCGCCTGAGGTCAGGAGTTCAAGACCAGCCTGACCAAAATGGTGAAACCCCATCTCTACTAAAAATACAAAAATTAACTGGGCGTGGTAGTGTGCACCTGTAGTCTCAGCTACTCAGGAGGCTAAGACAGGAGAATTGCTTGAACCCAGGAGGCAGAGGGTGCAGAGTGCTACTGCACTCCAGCCTAGGCCACAGAGCAAGACTCCATCTGAAAAAAAAAAAGAATGTGAACTACCTGGGCCACTTGATGGCTTAAAAAAAAAGCACACAGGCATAGGCCATCATCGTAAGACCTAACTGCATTTAGCTTTGCTATCTAAAGTGAATTATGAGACTCTTGGTTTCAGATTTGTATGGATTTTCAGTCTGACATTGATAACTCTTGCACTGATATTTCAAGTAATCTGTTTTTCTAGTTCAACCTGTGTCCTTATTATAGCACATGAACCAGCATCCTATTAGAAACATTAATTGATGTTAGCAGTTCTTTATTCTAAAATAGTAAGCTGGCTGACAGTTAACTGGTTACCCTTTTTTGTTCTGGCTTTATTGTGGTGGGGCTGTATATTTAAGAATTCTGTTTCTAAGAAACTAGTTTTTTACTTTTAAGATAAATTTTAAATTGTTGTTATCCATCTATATGTATTTCAGGGTCTCCTTTTGTGAATGCAATTATCCACAAAGGCTTTGATGAAAGGCATGCATACATAGGTGGCATGTTTGGAGCTGGCATCTATTTTGCTGAAAACTCTTCCAAAAGCAATCAATATGTATATGGAATTGGAGGAGGTACTGGGTGTCCAGTTCACAAAGACAGATCTTGTTACATTTGCCACAGGTAAGACATCACTTGTTCTCATTATTTTTATAATAATCAGATAAGAACTAGTTACATTTTTTAGAGCAAAGCATTATGTTGGACAGCCTTAAGAATGCAAGCTAGGCATGTTTTAGGTTGCTTTAGGCCCTCTCACTGATTATAATTGCTAATAATTATTAAATGATCTGTATAGGCCAATTATAATGTAAGCATTTGACCTATTTAACTAATCATTAGAATACCTGCTGCCTTGAAGCATACTGAGTAGAAAGTAACATTAGGCATGAAGGAGGCTTTATTGTAGTCCTTGAATATTATAGGACTCTGTGGACTCTTCAAAAATCTAGTATTCAGATGCTAAAATGGCATTATTTGCCGAGTTTGTTTTATGGCAGTGCCTGAGTCCTAATCCTCAGTTTACCGTTAGAACTTACAATTAAAACATCTATCCTTTTTGAAAGCAAATAATAATCAAATAACTACTTTGTACTTTTTTTCCACTTTTAATTACCTGTTCTAACTCACTTGTTAAAAATCATTTCAGTAACTTGGCCCTAACTTGTAAAAATCCTTATAGGCAAAAAATTATGCCATTTGAAAAATCCAATAAGATTAATTCCTGAGATTTATTCCACAGTTAGGGCACTGCTTATTGAACATATAGAGCATAGTTTATCAAGCATCAGAATCACCTGGAGGGCTTATTTAAACAGATTCTTAGACGCCACCTCCTCAGTTGCTGATTTAGTGGATCTGGGGTGGGGCTTTAGAATTCGAGTATCTACCAGGTTCCCAGATGTGACGCTGTATTTCTGACCACTGATCTAGAAAAAACCCCTAGAGCAGTACTTTGCACTTAGGCAGCACATTGGAATCACCTAGCGAATGTTAAAAACTATTAATGCCTGTGTTCCACCGTCAGAGAGTCTGATTTAATTGGTCTGAGGCATGATCTGGATATTAGAATTTTTGAAAGCTTCCCAGCTGATTTCAAAGGGCTCCTGAGCCAAAGAATTGCAGTAGTGGAGGGAAACAAGTTCTTTCTTTGTGTTTGTTTTGTTTTTACTATCCCTCTAAATTTAGACTTGCTGCATAGATGGTACACAGTAGGCCCTCCCATGTATGACCCACTTCTATTTTAGGTCATAAATTAGACTGGTTAGGAGGCATGTAATTTCCTGAGATTTTGTACATTGAACACTGCTGTTTTGTCATATATAGTCTGAAGGCTAAATAGTTCTGATTATTAGTGATAAGCAACATTTTAATACCTCCCTCTTCTTTGGAAGATAGAACCATCAACTAGTCTACCAAAATCTCCTGTTATCTTCTAAAAAGAAACAATGACGCAATACCAGAAGGTTGTTTGAAACTAAGAAAGGCCAATCACATGCCTGAGAGAAATGGGAGGTTAATCTACTGAAACTGGTCGTAAGGAGAGACCTATCTAAGGAAGTAACATTTCAGCTGAAGTCTGAAAATTGAGTGGGTGTCAGCGAGTGGAAGAGTGATAAAATAGATACCATTCCAATGGTGGTGAAAATTATATGGATGGGGACCGTTAGTAAAGGAAGTTTGGCCTTTGTGAAGAAAAGAAAAAAACTAATGTGCATGGGAGATAATGAACATAAAATGAGATTAGAGAAGCTGGAGCCACTGTGCAGAATTTGGATTTTCTCCGAAGTACAGTGAGCAGCCTCTAAAAGGTTTTAAGCAGAGAAGTGACTTGATCTAATTTTTATTTGTTTTAATTACTTGGATGGGAAAGATATGGACAGGAATTAGAGTAGAAACAGAAGACTGTTTTAGAAGCCATTGTATGATAGTCCAGGGGAAAATTTCAGTGATTTGACTTAATGGTGACAGTAGAATTAGGAAAAGTAAATGGATTTCAAATCTATTTTGAAGGTAAAATCAACTGGATTTAATTAGATATGTGTCCAACTTTGCAAGCCACTTGATGGAAGTCCCCTAAGCCTTCTTCCCACTTGGCCAGTGACTTGTGTGTTTGCTGAGATATAAACAAGGTGGTAGAGTCTGCATCTCTATAGGGTTATTACATTTTTCAGGTAGTTAAAATAAGGACTAAGGTGACAAATTATTTCATTAATAGGAGTAGTAGAAGAGATTCTTAAAAAGTTCTTTTAGGGGTGAAATGATAAAAACAATCATAAATATTTATGTGTGAATAAATTTTTAAAACTTATGCCATGTCCACAGATTGTCATATTTATGTGTCAAATTTGCCTTCAGGGTGATCGTTTCCTTTTCATGTTGTAGGCAGCTGCTCTTTTGCCGGGTAACCTTGGGAAAGTCTTTCCTGCAGTTCAGTGCAATGAAAATGGCACATTCTCCTCCAGGTCATCACTCAGTCACTGGTAGGCCCAGTGTAAATGGCCTAGCGTTAGCTGAATATGTTATTTACAGAGGAGAACAGGTAATACAGTTTTATTTGTTCATCTTCAAAAATGCTAGAGAGACATACTAACTTTTTACTAATCCCTTGAATTGACAAGACATAGTATTGCCTTAAGAACTGGATTTTTAAAAAATTTTATTTGGAAATAATTTCAGACTTGAAAAGTTACAAAAATAATAAAGAGAATCCCCTTATAACCTTTACCTAGATTTCCTAAATGTTAATATTTTATCATTCTCTTTTTTTCTTCCTTATCATTCTTCCTTCCCTGTGTATGTATACATATTTTTTTGCGAACTGTTTGAGAGTAAGTTGCAGGGCATGTCCCTTTACCATTAACTGCTTCCATGTAAATTTCCTAAAAACAAGAATATTCCCTTATATTTATCAAAATCAGGAAAATGCCATTGAGGTAATTATATCTGACCTACAGACTTTATTCAAATTTTGCCAATTTTACCGGATTATTTTAGCTCTTATAAACGATTGAAATCTTTTATTTAACAGTTAGCCTGTCTGTAGCAAAGAAGTATATAATTGTGTTTTGCTCTCAGTGGCATAGATCCAGCCAAAAGTAGTTCTAGGGCAGTGTTCTGAACTGGGGGTAGGTATTGGAATCACCTCAGTTACTAAAATCAGACATGAACTTAGTATTCATCCTAGACTTTCTGATTGAAAATCGAAAGGATTGTAGTCAGGGTAAAGATGTTTGGAGAAAATGTCCCTAGATGATTCTGATCTACAACACTAATTTAGAGCCTCCTCCCTAATGTTAGGAATACTTTTAGGAAGTCTGTTATCTTTCAAGAAAATTTGTGTACCATTATTTGAATTTCTTTCTCTTCCAGGCTTATCCTGAGTATTTGATTACTTACCAGATTATGAGACCTGAAGGTATGGTTGATGGATAAATAGTTGTTTTAAGAAACTAATTCCACTGAACCTAAAATCATCAAAGCAGCAATGGCCTCTAAGTTTTACTCCTTTGCTGAAAAAAAAAAAAAAAAAAAATCATCTTGCCCCACAAGCCTATAGCAAAAGGATAAAAATGTGAAAGAAGTTTAACATTCTGACTTGATAAAGCTTTAATAATGTACAGTGTTTTCTAAATATTTCCTGTTTTTCAGCACTTTAACAGATGCCATTCCAGGTTAAACTGGGTTTGTCTGTACTAAATTATAAACAGAGTTAACTTGAACCTTTTATACATTATTCATTGATTCTAACAGAAACTGTAATGCCCTCAACAGCTCGTTTTACTAATACAGTACTGTGTTCTTTAAAACACAGCATTTACACTGAAGACAATTTCATTTGTAAAACTGTAAATAAGAGCTTTTGTACTAGCCCAATATTTATTTACATTGCTTTGTAATATAAATCTGTTTTAGAACTGCAGCGGTTTACAAAATTTTTTCATATGTATTGTTCATCTGTACTTCATCTTGCATCATCATGATTGAGTGATCTTTACATTTGATTCCAGACGCTATGTTGAGTTGTTAGTTGGGAAAGATTGATTTATCAGATTTAATTTGCTGATGGGAGCTTGTATCTGTCATTAGAAATCTTTCTCATAGAACTTATGAATATGCTGAAGATTTAATTTGTGATACTTTTGTATGTATAAGACACATTCCAAAGAGCTCTAACTATGATAGGTCCTGATTACTAAAGAAGCTTCTTTACTGGCCTCAATTTCTGGCTTTCATGTTGGAAAATTTTCTAAAGTCATTCTGTGAAAATTAGAGCAAAGTGCTCCTGTTTTTTTAGAGAAACTAAATCTTGCTGTTGAACAATTACTGTGTTCTTTTCATGGAAGTTAAGTAAGATGTTACATTTCCAAGGTGGGGAAGGGTAATCCTAAATCATTTCCCAATTTATTCTAATTACCTTAAATCTAAAGGGAAAAAAAATAGCCAACAAGACTGGGTAGTTTTTTATCCTAAGTATTTTTTTTTCCGTTCTTTTTTTACTTGGTTTTATTGCTATGTTTATAGCCAAACTATACATCATGGGTAAACTCAACCCAGAACTATAAACTGTAGTTGTCTCAGTCCCCTCCAGGCCTCCTGAATGGGCAAGTACAGTGAAACAGGTGCTACTTGCTCCTGAGTTGCCTCTCCATGACGTTATGCCCAATTGGAAATATGCTCTCAGTTTGTGCACCATATGGTGACTAGGCCTGTGTTCAGTTTGGCAGCTATAGAAGGAAATGCTGTCCCATAAAATGTCATTCCTATTTTCTAAGATAAAACTCGTTTCCAGGAAGCATGCTTAAGCATCTTGTTACAGAGACGTACATGCATTATGGCTTGGCAGTCTATTTTATTTGTTGACTGTAGCTCCCTCCAAAGTCGAGGAAAGATCTTTACTCACTTAATGAGGACATTCCCCATTGCTCTCTGTACCAGTTCACTTTTATTTTACATTTTATTCAGTCTGTAAATTAACTGGCCCTTTGCAGTAACTTATACATAAAGTGCTAGAAAATCATGTTTCTTGTCCTGAGTAAGAGTTTATCAGAGTAAATGCATTTCTGGAGTTGTTTCTATGATGTAAATTATGATTGTTATTTAAGAGGTCAAATCCTGACGTTGAAGTGCTTTTTATACAGCTCTCTAGTAATTATGAATATGATCCTAAAGTCATTTCTTGGAACACAAATGGAGTATGCCAAATTTTATATAAATTTTTCAGATTATCTAAGTTTCCAGGTTTTATAATTAGAAGATAATGAGAGAATTAATGGGGTTTATATTTACATTATCTCTCAACATGTAGCCCATATTACTCGCCCTATGAGTGAATCTGGAATTGCTTTTCATGTAAAATCATTGTGGTCTATGAGTTTACAATATTGCAAACTGTGTTATTTCATCTAATCCATTGCTTGATGAGTGTGTTTTTCCATGAATGAATATACTGTGGTTAATATGTTAGCATGGCAGTGCTTTCAGATAGCTTTTTGTTTGTTGGGAAGTTGGGGTTTTGGGGGAGGGGGAGGATTAGTACTTTGCATGAAATAGCTTATTTTATAATGATGGAATTGCTTTTTCTTTTGTCTTGTGATTTATTTTTTTTTGAAGCGAAATTTAATTTTTTGTGCAAGTAGTACTATTATACCCATCTTCAGTGTCTTACTTAGACTGTATCACATTCCATACCCTCATTTAATTCTTAATAAACTGTTCACTTGTTTTTCTGGGTAGCATGGTAATTACTGGAATAGTAATAAATGTGTTGAATGGTCTTTGAGAAAATGGATTAAGATATTACAATAAACCACAATTGCAGGAAAACAATGTAGTTCTGAGTCTAATAGTGATAAAGAATGTAGTTTGAAGTTTGAAATATTGAATATTATAGCCATACTTGCTCCGTAAAATGAAAGTAGCTGTAAGATGTTCTCAACATTTAGTCCATTCAACACAACTTTGATAAACCTTAAAGCCCATTCCTGGGAAATTAATCTTCTTACCTTATAAAGAGGAATATATTTTTATTTCTGTATTATATGAAAACATTCTTAATAAGTTTCCAAACCTCAGTTAGTGGTATTTATTGCTATTTTAAAAAGTATATTAGTCGTATGTATATTAGACTTCAGTATGTTAAGTTTCCTTGTGTGTGATCAATTCCCTGCTTTGCATAATAAGAGAATGGTGGTGCAAATAATTCTTAAGTCTTTTGCTTTGAAATATATTTCAGCAGCTTTATGTTCCTGCTTCATTTGGAGTAATATGGAAGTATTTGCTTGCTATTTCAAGTGTGCATGCCAGTTTCAGGTGTCTATTGTGATCTAGTTGTTTGCAGGTTGATGAGGCAAGAAAACATGCAGATCTCCAGAGCCCTTACAATCAGTACTCCTGACTGTGCCTTTACCTGCTGTCCTGTCCTTATTACAGGACCAGAATGACAAAGGAAGCAAGTCGTGGTGGTACTCATTTTTCACCAGAACTGTCAGACTTCTATAAAATTAAATTGCAGTATAGCCTTTCCCTGTCTCCTGAGTCTCCACACCTCCTGCCCTTTTGTGCTGACTAGTTTAGGCTGGCTATGACCTAAAATCCTTAATTACACCCTCCTTAGAAAGTTCTTGTTCTTCACATAAAGCCATTATTATTAAAAGTGTTATCTCCACTTTGTCACCTACCCAGAGCTGTCATTTCCATAACACAAATATATACAGAGCCGCCAAAAGCAGTCTGCCAGTATACTGTAAAGCAGTGCTATGCAAAGGTGTGATCTGCAGATGGGATTGGTCTGCACACTGATGTTACCAGCCCATGGGGAAATGAATACAAAAAGGGTAAACTTTTTTAAACTTTTATAAAGCAAGACATTGATGTAATTTTTTTTTCTTATTGTTTTTAATTGAAATTCTGCCCTGCAATGGATTGGAAACTTGAAAAAAGAAACTGATTATTCACAGATAGTTTGAAAGGTTTCACATCTGCTTTGTATACCAGCAGACTTAACACCTGGCATATCTGGCACCTAGTGTTCTCAGTAAATTTTTGATTGAGTGAATAAATAGTGATTGGGTTCTAGGATCAGATGTATCTGGATTTTAATTTTTATTCTACCCCTCACCATCCATGTGATCTTGAAAAAATCATGTAACCTTTTAAAATTTTTCTAACCTTATAAGGTTGTTGAGACTAATAAATGATTTTCTATCTGTGCTACTAAACATTGTACTTGCCAATAACTGGTTATTATAATTAATATGATTGCCCTGAACACTCCAGAATTAGTGGCTTGAGTTTTCCCACTTGTCACAGAGACACAGAGCATGGTTTAAAACTGCAGATTTATTAGCCACTAATTCCTTTGTTCTAATGAAATCTTAAAGAAGCTCAAAATGTAGAGTATATAAATTCCTAACCCCCAGGGATCTTAGTTTGAAAATTACTGCTATAAGCACACAGACAGACATACGCATAATCCAATCTGCATCATATTCATGTAGGAAAAACAAGTCTCGCTCAGATGAACTCATCAAAAATCCAAAACAGTGCATTGTGAGCACAAATCAGTAGACACAATCTTGGAGAATTATCACCCCCCACAAACTTAAAGTAGTAAAGTATTGTTTAAAATGATTGAGATGAGAGGGGGAATAAAAGAAATCATTAAAACCATTAAGAAGTCCACACTGTGAAGAAGGCAAAGTCTTTGAAAAGGTAAGTCTTTAGAACTAAATTATATATAATTAATGAAAATTAAAACAGATTAAACTATAGACTGGGCATATCTGAAGATAGAATGGGGAACTGGAAGATACAGTGGAGAACACAGAGCACAGAGGAAGAGACGGGAAATATCAGAGGACTAGGAGACATAGAGAATAGAGTGAGGAGATACAACGTAAAGAATAGGGGAGGGAAGAGACTTGAAAAATATTCCAGAATGCATAGAATATGAATCTTTAAAGCAGCAGCAGTTTAAGAAACACCTAGGAGGATGAATAAAAGCAAGTCTGCTGTTAGACATAGCGACACTGCAGAGCATCAAAAGACAAGAAAAAAAGTAATAGAAAAAACAGAGGATTAATATACTGACAGCAGACTTTTCAGTGGCAGCAATAAAAGCTGGAAGACAATAAAATAACTACCAAGTGCTGAGGAAAAACTGTTAGCCTAGAATTCTGTACACAGATAAACTAGTATTTGAAAGAGAATGAAAAATGCATCCGTTCTTTTGCTGAGAGATCTAATAGATTGCTCTTTAGCAAAGAAGGCAGTTGAATCCAGAAGGGGAGGAGCAGGATGTCAGAAGCATAGTGCACAAAGAAAATTGGCAAACATGTCAGTAAAAAGGCTGACATTACCGAAAAGGAATAATCTTGAAGACTAATGTGTATGATTTGCTACTATTTGTATACAGTAGGAAAAACTACAACATGTATTTGCTTGTTTATAAGTAAAATACCTTCAGGATACACATGAACTATTAGGAGGAAACCTCAGTGCCACAGGGATAAGACGTGAAAGAGACTAAACTGTATAGCCTTTTATTCCTTTTGGATTTTGTAACAGGACTATTTAAAGCACTATAATAAGCCTTGTCTGCAATACAGAAGTAATGGATTTTAGATTTTTAAAACAAGGTGGAATGAAAGTACTAGTTGACAATAGTATGGGAAATAGAAGCTTGAAGATACTGATGAAATTTAGACTTTAAGTCAAGTATGCATATTAAGTTTTCAAAGATCATCACTAAAAGAGTAAAAATCAAAGTGTAAAGATGGGGGAAAGGTGATAAAAATGAATCAGTCTAAGAAAAATAACAGGTGACTGTTTCTGACTTTGGGATAAGGAAGAACTTTTTAAGTGAGCTTCAGAAAATACTGGCCTTAAAAGAAAAGTTTGGTAAATTTTGACTGTATTAAGTTTAAAAGTATCTGTTTATCCAAAGACCACTAAGAAGAAAGTAAAGAGGCAAGTCACAGAAAATATTTGCAACACATAAAGGGCAAATAATTTGTATTCAGTGTATACTAAAAACAACACAGAAAAAAGAAAAAAGTTGGAGGTGGGGATGTAAACAGGCGTTTATCAAAACGGGAAACTCAATAAACATTTTAAAAATGCTCAGCCTCATTAGTAATCAAGGAAATTCAAATTGAGTACCATAAGATACCATTTTATACCTGCCAGAATTAACAAAAGTAGAAAATTTAGCAATGCATGTGTTAATCTGGATCCCACGCATTGCTGTTGGTGTGAGTGCTTTTGAAATCAATTTGGCATTACTGGTAAAATGAGAAATTCCTCCCACATCTTAGGTATACCGAGAAACCCTTGCTCAGCGGCCCCAGGAGTCATATGAACTAACACAACACTGATCGCAATGTTTATATAATGACTCTTCTCTTTGCCCTCCTGATTCACTCTTCACAGTTCTCCACCCGCCTTTTTGCCCCAGAATAGTAATTTTGCTGGACTGCATGGACAGATTCCCTTGTTCTTGGGCTTTTCTTTGGGTTTAACCAAAGGGGAGTATCAGCCGGATATTGAAGGGTGATTAGGAAGAGAGTGGAATTCAAACGTGTATTTCCCAGCTTCCATACAGACTGGTCTCAGGACAACCTTGGCACTGTTGACATTTTGGGAAGATAATTACTTGTGGGGACTATTCTGTGCATTGTCGAGTGTTTAGCAGCATCTCTGATCCCTGACCACTAGATGCAAATAGTATAGCTGCCCCATGTGACAACCAAAAATATCCCAGACATTGCCAGATGTCCCCTGGAGGACAAAATCACCCTGGGTGAGAATCACTGGGTTAGCTGCCCCTTTCACTAAAAGGTCACCACTCCTCACAGAGTGGCTTTCCCTCTTACATAACTCCGGGAGTAGAAGCAGTAAATGTAAGAACTAGTTATTTAAGGGAATAAAATAAATAAGATAATCAAGAAAATCAGAAATCTACAATATAAAAAAGTTTCAATAGAGAAGTAACCACAAATACAAAGAAAAATGTTTAAACATTTTGAAGACCAACTATCTTACCAATAAGTGCAGAGTAGTTAAAATTTTTTTTAAAACCACTTTGCTCAACTCGATAAAAATAAATTTGGGAACCAAGATAACACCTACAGTAATATTCTAGTAAAACATAATGACTTTAACCCCAGGAAAGAGAGCAAGTCCAAACAAGAAGAGCTATCTCCAAACAATTCCTAGACTCGGGGAGTTTCATAGGTAGATTCTTACAAAACATTAAGGAACAGATAACTCCAATGTTATTTAAATTATTCTAAGAGTGTGGACAGAGTTTCCGGTTTTTTAATAAATATGATGTAGAATTAATAGCAAACTTCAACAAGGTAATAAAAAAAGGAGTGGACATTCATGCACAAAACGTTGAAATAATTGCAAGCAAAATCTAGCAAAACATTAACAGAATAATACCATCAGGAATATAGATAAACTGCAGATAGATATGAGGGAACTTTGGGGTGATGGAGATGTTAAAGCCGTTTTTAAAAACTAATCTGTAATGACTAGTTGGAGTTTATACCAAAAATGCAAGACTGGTTCACCACTAGAAAATCACGTAATTCACCCTATCAGCAGCTCACAGGGCAAAAATTAGACAATAATCCCCCTGAATTCTGAAAAGGCCTTTGATGAAGGCATCTACATTTTATGTATATATAAGGCTTCTGTCTGGGATTCCCAAACTCACAGACTGAGAGTTGGAAGAACTCCAACATGGTGGCCAGCATGGTGGCTCATGCCTATAATCCCAACACTCTCAGAGGCCAATGTGGGAGGATCGCTTGAAGCCAGGAATCAAGACCAGCCTGGCCAGCATAGGGAGACCACTGTCTCAAAAAAAAAAATTTCAAAGGCCTCGAACCTGGGTTGAAGAAAAGAAAAAAAGAAAAAATTTGTTTTAATTAGCTGGGTGTCGTGGCATGCACCTGTAGTCCCATCTACTCAGGAGGCTGAGGTGGGAGGAGTTTGTGGGAGTCACCTGTTCTCAGGAATTTGAGGCTGCAGCGACCTATGATAACACCGCTGCACTCCAGCCTGGGCAACAGTGAGACCCTGTCTCAAAAAAAGAAAGAAAAGAAAAAAGGAAGATGTAAAATGGTGTATATAATATGAATTTTAGAGGTGAGGTTAAAATATATACATATATTTATATGTGCTCATATATGTATTAAAATTTCTGGCAGAATATACTAGAAACAAATAATAGTTTATATTGAATGTTGGGAAACTGGGTAAAGGGGAATAAGGATAGAAGAGAGACTTTGTTGTATACCTGTTTATACTTTAATATTTTTGAACTGTGAAAATACATATTCAAAAATTAATTCATATTTTAAAACCAACGAATACATTAAAATTACACTTTGGCTTCCCCTCCTTTACACCAAGCACCGTCATTGCAATTTTGCTTCAGGACCAGAAAAACAAACACCCTTCTATAGGAAACCAGCCCTTGGTCCTCCCTTTGTCCTTTCAAATAGTGACTTGCAGAAATTCCAATTCAGCAACATTTCTCCCCTCTGGCTTCAGAACTGTTCTGTGCTGGCTTTTTATTCCCCCCTCCCCTACCTACTCCTTTTGCCCAGTTCTCATCAATCTTCCCTTTGCCTCCCCTCTAAACACTACTGTAGCCACCAGAGCTCTCTGATTCATAGCACAATGTTGTGCTTGGAATTATAGAAAAATAGAAGCACAGCTCTGAACACGGGTATCCCAATAGCACCTCAGCCTTAACCAACTTCTGCCTCTATTGCAAACTCTTAGCTGGCCTCACCTCTCACTTTCTTCACACAGTTGACATTCCAGCATCCTTCAGGGAAGAATTGTCTTTCACGTGGATTCTGTCTTCTCACACTCAAGGCCAGTCGAGTCTGCCCCCAACTCTTGATAAAATCCCCATGTACCCTGGTTGCTCATCATATGTTTATCTTGTCTCCTCCAGTTACTCCCAAACTTGGCTCGAACCTGTTCTCAGAGCCTGTAGTTCCCCCTGAAGCCCAGCGGTGGATCTAAACAGG